GGCAGCACCACTCGACTTATTGTTGTGAGCATAAAACATTGTTGGCTCATTGTCGCAGTACATATTGAGTGGCCTTTGAATGTTGTCGACTACTTTCAACCCAGGTACAACTTCTTTAACCATTTTGCTTGCCCTGTGGCCTCATAACTAGCTACAAACTCGGCATACATCATCGATGATATGCTATGACGGTTTGCTTGGAGCTTTTCCACGAAATAGCCCCTTTTGCGAGAGTGAATATGTAGCCTGATGTGGACTTTCTATCATCTACATCTCTCGCAAAATCTGTATCTGAATACCCTTCTATCTCTAGGGAATCAGATCTTCTGTACGTTAGTATGAGGCCTTTTGTGCCTTGCACATAACGCAAAGCTTTCTTTACCATTCTCCAGTGATCTATTCCTGGATTTCCTTGATATCTGCCAAGTATCCCAGTAACAAAAGCTAAGTCAGGGCGCGTACATACTTCAGCATACTGCAAGCTTCCGATAGCCGAAGCATGTGGAACAACTTTCATTTGATCGATCTCAAACTGGTTCCTGGGACATTGAAATTTCCCAAATCTATCGTCCTTGACTATGGGAGCAGGTGTAGGCTTACTCGCATGTATACTGTATTTCTTTAGTACTTTTTCCAGATATGCCTTTTGCGATAATCCTAAAACCCATTTTCTTCTATCTCGGTGAATCTCTATTCCTAGAACAGATAAGGCTTCACCAAGATCTTTCATATCAAAATTCGAGGACAAAAACTTTTTCGTCTCCAATAGTAGATCAACATCACTACTAGCGAGTAGGATGTTATCTACATATAGGATTAGGAAAATAAATCTTCTATTTCCGAACTTTGCGTAAACACAATTGTCCTCTTCATTCTCATTAAACCCAAACCTTCTTATTACTTCATCAGACATTAAGTACCACTGTCTGGAGTGTCTGGAGGCTTGTTTTAATCCATAGATGGATTTCTTCATATGGCATCCCATTTATTCTTTTCCTTCCACAACAAAACCCTTGGGTTGTGCCATGTAGACGTTCTCATATAAATCCCCATTAAGGAATGACGTCTTTACATCCATTTGATGTAGTTCTAGATCATAATATGCCACAAGTGCCATTACGATCCCGAAGGAATCTTTACCTGACACGGGAGAAAAGGTCTCATTATAATCAATTCCTTCTCTTCAAGTAAACCCTTTTGCCACAAGTCGTGCTTTATATCTTTCTACATTCCCTTTAGAGTCACATTTTGTTTTGTAGACCCATTTGCAGCCTACTGTTTTGGCTCCTTTAGGAATTTCTTCTAAGTCCCAAACTTTGTTGGTACTCATTGATCTTATTTCATCTTCCATGGCTTCAAGCCACTTCGATGAATGAGCACTTCTCATGGTTTCTTCAAACGAGGTGGGATCACCCTGTGTTTGAACTTCTTCACTAGCATAGACTTGGTAGTCACTAAGAATATCTGTCTTTCTTTCTCTTTGAGATTTTCTAAGTTGTGGTACATCTTCTATTTGGGGCTGATGTTGCTCTTCCTCTTGTGTGACAACTAGTTCTGTAGGATCCTGAATCTCAGGTTCCTCTTGCTCATTCGTTGTTGTCACAGGAGAACTAACATCAGGTGTTGTCACAACAACATTCTGTGTTGTCGGTGTTACATCAACAGGTATCGAGAAAAAGGGTTCTTGAATCATCGGAGTCGGTAGATGTACCCGCTTCTCCTCAAGACTAATTTATCGGGGTACCATGCTCCCCCTGACTATCTCATCCTCCAGAAACAATGTGTCTCATTTCCACGAACTTGGTGTGTCTATCAGGACAGTAGAAACGAAAACCTTTCGACTTCTCAGGGTAGCCAATGAAATGGCAACTGACTGTCTTGTGATCTAGCTTCCCAATATTTGGGTTAAATAACTTTGCCTCAACTTGATAGCCCCACACCCGTACATAATTTAGCATGAATTTCCTTCCTGTCAATAGCTCATACGGTGTTTTGGGTACCGACTTACTTGGTACTCGATTAAGAATATGGGCAGCGGTTTTTAATACCTCCATCCATAGTCTTTCTGCTACTCCGATCTATTGAGGCTCGTCCGGTGCGGAGTACTGGGCTACTATGCCATATGCCATTTTCCTGTAGAAACCTTGCAAAAGGTCCAGGTATTTGGCCATAAGGGGTATGCCGAGCATAGTAGTACTCTCCTCCACGGTTGGACCTTATTGCTTTAATCTTTAGATCATAATGATTTTCTTTCCTTTAATACAATCTATGCAATATTCTGAATCCGTAATGTCTAACGGATACAAAATTTCTTCTTTAATAAATCGTTCAATTCTCCCCTTCAAAATGTGGCCTAAACGACAGTGCCACAATTTCGCCGTGGTTTCCTCATTGCATCGTTTGCGCTTACTTCTTACATTCGTAGACGAGGAAGACACACTATTGCATGCAACATTCACTTCATTGCATACAACATTCACATTACTATTGCGTCTTTCTGCTCTTTGAAGAGTCCTCCTCGTACGGAATCCCTTTCTTTATAAGATGCTTCAGGAATTCAGGGCAATCCTTCTGATAGTGCCCCTTCTTGCACTACTTGGCAATGAGCTTCTCAAAGTCCCAGTTTTCGGGCAATGAATTGTAGTTCACAACAAAAGCCTCAAAAACTGAAGGCAAGGAGGAAAAATTAAGGTGAACTAGGAACTCATCAGGAAGAACTAAAGTCCATCTTCTTGAGCTTTGAAGCGATGCCACTCATCTTCAAAATATGCTCTCTAACCCCTTCGCTCGTATACTACATGGTTACTAACCTCTTGTTAGGGATTTCGCACAGGCCTTTAAAGAACCAGTGAACTGATTCTCCACCCATTGAAGGTACTCTATGGCAGTGGGATTGCTCCCCTTATTGCCTCCACAATGGAGCTCTTGATCACCATCAAGCACTTGCATTTTGATGACTCCTACTTCGCACGATCAGTGTTGTACTTCTGTACTATTGGAGCATTGTCCAACGTTCTCTGCTTAAAAGCATCTTCACTCTCACCTTCTGCCCTCACTGGAGCAATAGCTCAGTGGGGCAAGACTCGGTGAGAGCTAAAACTATATCAGACATCGCAAGTGCTATATCTATCTTCTCTCTCGCATGAGCCTTAGTTATTCCCGTTAAGGGGCTCACAATGGCCGAGATGTGAACTAATGGGTTAGTAGATCCTAAAGCAAATTAAAGAATTGAGAAACATTTAAACCTTTTGCATGTTTTAATTTAGCTCTATTTCTTCGTTATTGTTATAGGAAGTCCGAGTGAGGTTTCAAGGATTTGGGGCTGAAGAGGATGAATGGATCAATGTCCGGAAGGCTATCCGACTGTAATCCATCCCGCTAGAATCATGAGAATGCCGACTCATCAGGGAAGGAGATATTGTCCTCTGTTTCAAGATAAAGGGTAATAAATTTCCCTTATTTTTTCCTGAAATAATAACTGAGGCTATACAATACCGTAGATATTATATGTTGCACTGCTGCGACTTTCTACGTTTGTATCATTTTGATGGATTTTTTTTAAATGTAATTTTTATCGAAGTTTTTCATTTCCTCATTGTGATTTGTTCATCAGGAGAGCAATGATGAAGCATTGCATTTTGATCATGATGGAACCCAGGTAATTTTAACCATTCCTACCTATCGTTAGAACAAAAAATGATATGCCGTTCCTGCGAATGTTCATCCAGTAAATCACAAATGATATGTCGTTCATGCGAATGATATTGTATTCTTCCCCATATTTCCCAACTCACCTCCCTCGTATCGCGCGCGTACGCTTTTTAAACTATCAAATGGTGCGTTTTTTTTTGCAAAAGGTTTTTAAGTTGCTTTAAAAATAATATTAATCCATCTTTAAAACAGTTTAATAAATACTTAATTAATCGTAAGAAAATGCGTTGCTTCATTTTGCGTGCGCGGGAGGTGAGTTTCCAACCTCACCACCCGAACTAATTTAGCTTGATGCTAAAAAACTTATGTTTTTTTTCCTTTCTGGTGCCAGGAGAGGGTGAACCTGAGAAGATTGTCCCAGCGGCCGAAGCACTCTTAATGGCTTGTGTCAAACTGTCGAATACACGTGTGCCTCTTGCCATATGCGCTAATGTTGAACTGAGAGGAACTGAGAGGTTGTTTGGTTGATGGCTAAGTTTACCACACCTTACTTTATGGGGTTGTTTGGTTGATGGCTAAGTTTACCATATCTCACTTTGTCACAAGTGTGTTATGCCACAAAAAGTGAGGCTAACAATTTGTTGGCCACAAGTGTGGCTAAGTTTGGTAAGAATTTGAGTCTATAACGTGTAGGCCCAATGATTTTGTAAAGTGAGGCATGATACAAGTGTAGCAACCAACCAAACACTGTACTAACAAATTGTGGCATGCCTAAGGTTTGGCATGGCAATCTTTAGAAGCCAACCAAACAGCCCCTCAATCCGATAGTTAGGGTCTAAAATGTTTTATGAACTCATGAGTAACCCCATGTGATGGTACATTTCAACCCACTCACTTGGGCAAATTCCCATTTGAATTGCTGTTTGTGAGGTCCTTGATGTCTAAATTTTGGACATGGTAAGAAGAGCATACTTCCTCCGTCAAAAAAAAACTCAACCTAGGAGGGGATGTGATCTAGATTCTAGATAAAGGGTAGCCAGATTTGTTGTCTTAGAAGGGATCACATGACTCATATTCTCTTAATAGGTTAAGTTTTTTTTAAGGACGAAGGAACTCTTATAGGTTAAGTATTTTTTAAAGGATGAAGGAAGTATACGATAATATGACCGGCTCCAAGAACTATCAGGATTTGAACTTTTTTAAATGCATTGTGTTGGGGTAAGATTTCACATTTCCATGGAAATTTGGTGATTTTCATCTGCTTAGCAGGGGACCCCTCCATCCGCCGCTCGGCCCCACCGTCCCCGCGCGCCACGTCAGATCACCGCGGAGGTGGGCTCCACCCGCAGCGACCCATCGAGGTACTCCTCTCTTCAACTGCTACTAGTACTATCTCCTCCCGTCTCGTGCTCTTGCGCGCCCCCGCATCTCTCTCTCCTCGCCTAGGGTTTCACGCCCTCCGATCCCGCGGCGGCGGCGAAGCTTCCACTCGCCTCGGCGGCGGCGCCGGCCAGGTGAGGCAGCAGCTCGGGCTCTCTCTCTCTCTCTCCTCTTGTTTCTTCCTCTCGCCGTCGGATCGGATCGGGGCGGGTCCATTCGTTGCGGCTTCTCCTGTAGATCTGTGGCCCGTGCTCATGCTCGATCTGTACTGTATCCGCGGGGTGTGTGTGATCCGTGTCGCGTTCTTTTGGTTGGTTTTCTGCGGGATGGATGCGTTTGATTATGGTGCGGGTGGTTTTTTGGTGAGTAGGTGGGGGCGTCCAGATCCATGCGCATGGATGGATCCTGGGTTGGTGTGTTCGTTGGTAGTTGTGATTATCCGGCGGGTATCGGATCGATGCTAGTGAAGTATGTGATCGAGAGCGATGTTTTGGTTGGTTAGGTGGTTGGCAGGGATTTGTGCTTGGATTCTGGGACAAGTTTTCGTTTCGTGACGTTGCTGACATGCTTGGTTTGAAGGAAAATAATAATAATAATGATTAGGCGTAGATATATGCTAAATTTGACTCCGGATCCAAGTCAATTTTACCAATTTTGATAGGAATTGAGCGTTGCGAAAGTTACCATTCTTGCTAGGTTGACATGTCAAACTTAACTTTGAGCAGGTAATTTTCCATTGCAATTTTTTTTGGGAGCAATCCAATTCTTCTATTACGGGAATTTGCAAAAAAAAAAAAACTTGCATAAATCGCAGCAATGGTCAGCACATGAACGGAACAGGAACTACAAGCAAAATGAAAAAGGAAAATTAACTACCGTATGAACCAAGTTTCACATGGGCGTGCAAAATTCTGCACAGGTAGCAGCACCCGTGCGATCCAAGCCCATCTCCACCGCCAACCCGACCAAAAAACACAGCTGTTGATTCACAAGGCTTCGCAGATCACATCCCTACCTAAATACCTAAATTTCCAGCATGCACGCAACCTAAGCGGGCATGCTGATCCAGATCTACCCGACACCATCAACCCAATTCCCCCTCCTCCAAACAGCGAAACCGAACTGCAGCAGATCACAACCCCCATCTCCACTGAATCCAAACACCACATCGAGAAAAAAAAAACACACTCTAGATCGCGCGACCGCAACACCGCGCCCCGCCCCCATTCCCCCGCGGCGCGGTAGATCAGGCACACACGGATCGGCCAAATCTGATGGGGAAAAACAAGGATAACATGAGGGAAGGATCGGATCACCGGGCTCACCTGACAACGGTGAGGCCGCGCTCCGATCTGGCGGCGGCGGCGGCAGTGGAGGTCGCCAAATCTAGAGGCGCACGCGCGGCGAGTGAGGGAGGAGAGGAGAGAGGCGGGGTTAGGGGCGTGCATGCAGGAGTACTAGTAGAAGCCATAGGGGAAGGGGAAGCGAGGCAGTTGGGGTATTTTATATGATGAGCTGGAATTTTTTTTGTTTCTTTTGCGGTTTTTCACCCTTTTTCTTGAAAAAAACTACTATGCGTAATTCGTCTTTCTTTTTTTTTTTTTTGTGTTGGTGGAAAGACAACTCTTTTAGATTTTAGACTGGCATGCTTCTTGTTAAATGGAGAGAACGAAAGAGAGATAGGGTCCTCTGCAATACTCACCTGAGCCTATGGCAGCTCCAACTCTCAGATTCACCTCAGTTCTGACTAGAGCGCAACCAAACGGTCCAGCTCCACAAAAAAATGGAGTGGAGTAGGCCAGATCGCTCCAAAAAATTGTACTAGCTGCGCTCCCAACTCCAACTCCAGAGGACCCTATCTCTCTTTCGTTCTCTCCCTTTAACAAGAAGCATGCCGGTCTAAAATTAAAATCTGATAGAATTATCTTTCCACCAACACAAAAGAAAAAAAAGAAAGACGAATTAGGCATAGTAGTTTTTCAAGAAAAAAAAGTGAAAATACCGCAAAAGAAACAAAAAAAAAATCCAGCTCATCATATAAAATACCCCAACTGCCTCGCTTCCCCTTCCCCTCTGGCTTCTACCAGTACTCTTGCACGCACGGCCCTAACCCCGCCTCTGTAAATTCTTTCTCTCTCTCTCGCGGCGCGTCCGCCTCTAGATTTGGCGACCTCCGCCACCGCCGCCAGATCGGAGCGCGGCCTCGCCACCGCCAGGTGAGCCCGGTGATCCGATCCTCCCCCTCGTGTTCTCGTTGTTTTTTCCCCTCAGATTAGGCCGATCCGTGTGTGCCCGATCTACCGCGCCACGGGAGAATGGGGGCGGGGCGGGGTGTTGCGGTGGCGCGATCTGGAGTGTGTGTGTTTTTTCTTTCAGTGGGGATGGGGGTTGTGATCTGTTGCGGTTCGGTTTCATTGTTTGGAGGAGGGGGGAATTGGGTTGATGGTATTGGGTAGATCTGGATCAGCCTGGCCGCTTGGGTTCCGTGCATGCTGGAAACTTAGGTAGGAATGTGATCAGCCTGGCCGCTTGGGTTCCCCACTGACCAGATCACAACCCCCATCCCCACTGAATCCAACAGATCCGTGCATGCTGGAAACTTAGGTAGGAATGTGATCTGCGAAGCCTCGTGAAATCACACCTGCGTTTTTGGTCGGGTTGGCGGTGGAGATGGGCTTGGATCGCAACGGGTGCTACCTATGCAAAATTCTGCGTGCCCACGTGAAACTTTGGTTCGTACTGGAGTTAATTTTCCTTTTTTGTTTTTGCTTGTAGTTCCTGTTCCGTTCGTGTGCTGACCATGCTGCGATTTAGGCAAGTTCTTTTTTTGGTAGCAACTGATTTTGTCGCTGGTGATGAAGCCTTGTCAGATGCTGAGCGATAGTGCGGAGTATCTGAGTTGTAGTGATTGGATCATCGGAGTTACTGGGCAACCGCAAGGGTCAGCATTCCTTGGTGATAGAATTTGTGTTGTATGCTTTTAGACAACCGTATGTGTAATCTGTATTTCTGTTCTCTTGAATGAGAGAAGGGAAGGGAAGGTTATTTTCCTTTCAGTAGAGTGACCAGTGAATATGATGGAGTGAGGAGGGAAATGTTTACTTATCGCGTCACGGCTATCTTGTCCCAATTGTGGTTCTTTGTGAGTCACAGTGCTAGTTTTGTTTATTAGGGTGCAGCTATGCTACCAGATACCAGCAGGACACAACATACCACAATAAGCTACTTTGTAAAATGCATCACATTGAACACCTAATGCCATGCCATCCTTATTTGATGTGCTTAATGTTCTAAAAGTCAGCCCTAGGCATGGCGTGCTAGGAGCTATGTGCCATGTCGCAGCTGTGATTTTGCATTTGGTGGTGCACCTTCCTTGGGGGCTCTAGTGCTGATATTTTAATTGTCTTTATTTATGTGATATGTTTGCTAATTGCTAGGAAACCTCTTGTCAAGTTGATCTTAGGCGGGGTTAGGTGTCTGTAGGTGCTAACCTTGCTGACCACCTAGTCACCTTATTGAACATTGTATGCGCTATGATAGCCAGCAATGTTGTGACTGGCTTGTGTGCACCTGTGGTTTAGTGTACACCTCACCGCCTTGGCTGCACAGCATGACTCATTAGTTATGGTGCACATGCCCCAAACCGATGTTCGTACTTTCCTCACAGGCCTAGATTTGTGTGTGGTTATTTGGTTTCTGTTTGTGTGATTTGCATGCATGATTTCAGGGAGTTACACTCGGGCAGGGATTTGGATGTGGGATTTAATGCCTATTTGGTTTGTGGGTAGGCGTAGGCCCTCTTTGTTTAGGCTTATAAGCCTACTTATAAGTCGAAAAGTCTAAGTCAAAACAAACAAGCAGCTTTTTCATTTGGCTTTTTTGAAGCCATAAGCCACTCTAACACTATTAAGCCAAAAGCTAGGTTGGAGAAGCTTTTTTGGCTTATATGAGATAGATGTATGACTCCACCACTAAACTTAGGACATTAAATCCACTGGCTTATAAATCATATAAGCCAATAAGCTGACTTAAAAGTCTAGGCCAATAAGCCTAAGCCTAAACAAAGAGGGCCGTAGTGTGATTGCATAATTCCCTAGGTCATGGTTTAACTTGAACTTTGTATCACAGTGTGGAGATATATTCGTTTTGATGTATAGATCATGATATGGTAATCTGTGTGCCTTTTCTGTCTGAACCATATTGAATATCCCCTGTGTCCCAAAATATAAGCATTTCTGGAGTTCTGCATGGTGATTAAGGAAGTAGGTGGAATTAAATGGGAGATGGTTTTCATTTGTTGAGATGAGGACCTTGCTGTCATCCCAGTCTCAGCTGGAGAAATTAAACGGTAGATGGTTGTGATTTGTTGAGATAAGGGAGTAGCTGAAGTTGCTATATTTTGGCACGGAGGGAGTTACTAAGTGGAGAAAAGAGGTATGGACTTGGCTTGCATATAATTGATTTACTAGGGTAGTGTTCTTGTTTTCGTTTCCAGGTAAGTGGGGTCATTCTGGCACATAATGTTTTCAGTGAATTTTGCCTGATTTCTTATCATGTGTGGTCACATTTCTTAATTCCGAAAAACATATTATAACCAATTGCCCTTGCATATGATGAATATGATCTTACTGGATGTGTGTTCATTTATGCTGTGATGTTTACTGATTCCTTTTACATATCTGAAGGGACATGGGAATGGAGGTTGTTGGAACTGAGGCTGCACCAGCAGAGGTTAAAGTAACTGATGGAGAAGTGAACCTTTTCCAAGAGAATGAAAGTAAAGCAACTGCCAAGGAACGTGAGGAGGCGGTTCTTTTTGGTTCAGATAACAGCACAGCTACAGCAAATGGAGCCGCAAATGGCGCTGATTTGGCACCCCCAAAGGATGCAGAGGAGGACTGGCCTGAAGCTAGGAAAACACATAGCTTCTTCTTTGTCAAGATCCGCTTACTTGAGGACCCTAAGCTGAAAATGAAGATTGATCAGGCAGAAAAGGACTTCCAGAAGAAGATTCAAGCTCGTTCTCAAATTTTTGAGGCTATAAAAGCCAAGAAGGTATGGTCCTAGTTCTTACAGTTCTAGTACATATAAATATGGTCAATCTTGTTTAAATTTTATCCTAAATCAGCAAGAAGTTATATTCCTTACAACTTGTTTAAAACGACTGTCATCTGCTATTGATGCTAGAGCCTAGAATATGTTGCCAATTTGAGCAGACTACGAAATTTTGGTGATATGTCTGATTTTGGAACTTAATCTGCAGAATGAGCGCTTCGGTATTATCTCAGAGCTGAAGCCATTGGCTGCTGAGAACAAGCAATACAACGAAGCCGTAAGTGAGAAGTTGAAGGCGATAGAACCTCTTAGAAACCGTTTAGGAAAGTTCCGCGATGAAAACAATGCTATCCGGGCACAGGGTGCAGGCATATGTTCTTCAATTGAAGAGCTTGAGAAATCGGTATGGCAGTACGGTTAACCTATGATAATTTATTTTTCTGTTCTTCAGTCCAATATTTGATTACATGTTTGTGCCTTCTCCATTGCTTTGTCCTATTAGATCAAGAGATTGAACGACCGCATATCTCATGAGAGCATACCCTTGGATGAGGAGAAGCGGTTGATCAAACAGATTAGAGAGCTTGAAAAGACCAGACCGAAAGTCATCTCCACTTCTGCTAACCGAGCTCAAATCCAAGATACAGTGGTCGAAAGAGACGCCATACAGGATCAGGTTAAAGTAAGTATATACAACTAAATATTTGTTTGTGCATTTATCTTCTTGAAAAAAAAATAGAATTAATAATGGCCAAACATTGTTTGCAACTGTTACTTCAGATCATCGGGGAGGGCATTGATGGAGTAAAGAAGGAGCGACAAGCAGTCAGGTCTAAAATTAAGGTCCTGGAGGATGAGCTAAAGGCTATTGACATGGAGATGGGTTCGCTTCAAGAAGATTTAACTGCTGCCAATGCCAGAAAGGACAAGGCACATGAATCATTGGTCCAATTGAGACATGCACGAGATGCCTATGTAAGTCAATGTGTCTTTAATGTCTTTCATGCGGGGCATCATGTTTTCTCTTCTAATACTATCTACCTGGTATGCCTGGACTAAGAAGGAGCAACACCTAATTTTTTAAAGTTACTTCAGTTGTGTTGCACACAGTGTTACGGGACACACGGGTCCAAAGTTTTTGACATATCAACTTGTTTCTTTTTGCCAACATGTCTCTGACTCGACTCGACTGGTGGTGCATCTTCCAGCAGAGTGTAACTGGTAGTCAAGGCAGAAACGCATTGCTTTGTTGGGGAGGGGAAAGAAAAGGCATTGGGGATAGAATAATCAATAAGTGTGAAAATGAAGTCTGTCTAGGTTGTTTTTTTTTGTCAGCGGCCAACTTTCTATCCTCTCTAGAGACTTTTTTGTGGATAAGTGGATGGAACAGTTATAAATGTCCTGGGCTCCTGGTATGGATAAACAGACTAGATAATTTTCTGTGTGCTAGAAAAGCCTAGAATGATGTACCCCCTTTCGTCCCAAAACAGTCCCAAAATATAGCTACTTGTCACCACCTACTCCCCCATATCAACCAATTCCATCTCTCATTTAATCTCTACCATCCCTCTTCTCAACCAAGCACAACCACCCCCATTTAATTTCACTTCTCTCCTTAATCATCGTGAAAATTCCAGAAAGTGCTTATATTTTGGGACAAGGGGAGTAGAACATATGCTGCGTACAAGAGATTTTGTGAAATGCTTAAGTCCTTATAACAGAATTAATTATATTAGGTGAATCCTTGACTATTTAGCATTTGCTAAATCAGATACCTGAAAATCCATGACGGATACGGATTCCTATGTCTATGTGCCGGTAACACTGGATTTACAGTTCTCAGCAAATACATATATTTGCATGTCTTCACATAACCTCAGTTACACGTCCTTGAGCTGTAAGACAGATTAATTTTTGTTTTCCCCCCAAGTTTGGTGCTTTTCTATGTATATACTGACACTATAATTACCAATCGAATTTCCTTCATGATTCATTGATACCTCTGCATAAGGGTAACCTGTTAACATGTGGTGATGAAACATGTTTTTAGTAATTAATTGTCTCATAGTTACTACTCCCTCCATTCCAAATTGATCTACATATTTCATAGGTACACCAAGACCAATAAAAGCTAATAACTCTCTCATACTATATTTACTCTAGCAACAAACTCGATGTATGCACCATCCCCACTATCTCCTAGCCAATAGCAAATCAAGATATTGCATGTGGGTTATAAATACTTGTGTGCATGGATGTATGCATCAATGTCCATTTACTCCAATGCACAAATAACGAATAGACTTAATTTATGAACACAAATATGTAGATCATTTAGGAATAACCTCAAAAAAACTATATGTAGATCAATTTGGAATGGAGGGAGTATATATTAGCATGCTTAAGCTAGCTGCTTTTGACTTTGAGGATGTGGAGTTCATTTGTCTTTCTACTGATACCTCTTATGCTCCCATGTTTATCTAGAACGCATCATTCCATCAAAACCGCCAACTTCTGAGCAAAGCTAGGGATCTTGCTTCTAGGAGTGAGCTTGCACAAGTGCAAGAGCTCTACAAGACACAGGTGTGTGCGCCTCTGGAGCATTGTTTTAATAACTGTTCATCTTTTACGACTTAACAAAAATGTCCTAACTAAACTTCTGTTGTACTCTTTATAGGTTGACAAATTCGTGGCAGAATGGTGCAACAGCAAGGCCTTCAGAGAGGACTACGAGAAAAGGATCCTCTCCTCCCTCAACAGTCGACAGCTTAGCCGAGATGGCCGGATGAGGAATCCTGATGAGAAACCCATATTTATTGAAACAGAGGCAGCAGCACCACCTGTAGAACAAGAGCCTATCCAATCAAAAATGCCTGCAAAACAAGCCAAGGAAGCGCCTGCTCCCCAAGCAGAGGTTTCTCCCAAAGATGAGTCCCGCGTGAAAGCAATAGCTAAGCCATCTAAGGCTAAATCCTCTCTGGATGCTGATGATGACTATGAGGCCGAGTCTCCCAAGGAGAAGCCAAAGCCTAAAGAGGTTGATGTAGCTAAGTTGAAAGAGATCAAGAGACAGGAGGAGATGGAGAAGAATAGACTTGCCCTGGAAAGGAAGAAGAAGCTGGCCGAGAAGCAAGCAGCGAAGGCAGCAGCCCGTGCACAAAAGGAGGCAGAGAAGAAACTCAAGGTAGACAAGTCGTCGTCATCATCATCCCTCTTCCTCGCTGCCACATTGTAACCATGTTTATCTCTCTCGCTTTGCCACATTGTAACCACGTCAATGTACTTATTTTCAGAGAGAGGAGATGAGGGCCAGGAGGAGGGCTGGGGCAGCTGACACCGAGGCGTCCACTGAATCGGACAACAGGTCTGATGGAGCAGCGGAGGCACAAGCAGAGGACGACTCCGCTCCTGCTTCTGCTCCGGTGATGAGAGAACAGAGGGAGAGTGTCCGGTACAGCAGAAACGTCGTGACCAAGAGCAAGGCCCCGCTGCCGAAGGCGATCCTGAGGAGGAAGAAAGCCCAGTCGTACTGGTCCTGGGCTGGCCCTGCTGCTGCAGTGGCCGCCGCGCTCGTCGCCCTGCTTGCCGTGCTAGGCTACTACCAGTACTACCTCCCAGCGAGCGCTAGCAACTGATGGAAGGAAAGCAGGCAGCCCCCCCTTGAGAATTGCTTACTTGAACAATTTTGCAGGTGAGAAACAGAGTGCGTGGTCTGCTGAGACGTGGACTGAAAGACTGGAGATTTGTTCGTTTTCGTTCTGTTAGTTTGATGATCGGTGGATAAGAGTAAGGAAAAAAAAAGGATAGAAGTTAATTTTGGTTGGGACTTAGAATCTCCTATATACTGCGAGTGATCTCATGTACTCTTAAACTGAAGCATAGGTTGCCGTTCTGAAATAAACAATGCCGCATGCTTTAGGTTTACTTATCTGTTCCTATGAGCCAGATGAATTGCTGTGTTGTTCCGTTTTGTTCCATGAGCAATCGATGATCGTCATTTGCATGCTGCTTGCGGATGTGGGCGAGCTAATGTCAGTGTGTAGCGTGGGTTTACAAATCCCCAAATCTGTCTGTATCGCTCTAAGGCCCCGTTTAGTTTTCCAAATTTTTTCCCTAAAACCATCGTATCGAATCTTTAGACATATGCATGAAGCATTAAATATAGATAAATGAAAAAACTAATTGCACAGTTAATTAGTCCATGAAGAAGGAAATCGCGAGACGAATTTTTTGAGTCTAATTAGTCTATGACTAGCCATAAATGCTACAGTAACTCACATGTGCTAGTCTTGCGGTTTCCAGGTGAGTTATATTTTTTCATTCGTGTCCAAAAAACCCTTCCGACATCCGGTCAAACATCCGATATGACACATAAAAATTTTCTTTTCATGAACTAAACAGGCCCTAAATCCTGGGCGGGGTTCGCAAAATTGTCTCGTCACAAAAACCGCTTCCCAGCAGTTTCATCGAGAATTGTGATTGACAAAAAAAAAAGTTCGCATAAATTAACACTTATGAAATTATAATGGCATGATTCTAAATAGTTAAATAGTAATGATATATTTTTAAACCGTAAAATTTATAATGACGTAAATCCAACTAACCCTACAATTGTACACCCAGCACTTCAGCACAAGTCTCTTACTTTTTGGTGCTCAAAAGATTTAGTAAAATTCAACAATAACATGGAATAATTTTATTTTAAGTTTATATTTCGGGTTGTTTGTGTAAAGGCAAAGACCCGTAGATTACGCATGTGCAAAGATTTTATGGAGGTTCAAACGCTCCTTTAGATAAATAGCCTTAAGCCTGTTGGTTTGTATATATTAGTTCAAAATTCATGATATATAAATAAAGCCAGCTATATATTGTGTTGTTACGGAGCGAGTTTTCCCATTGACCTAAGGGAGTCCTTCAATAGTTGAGCAAAGAAGTTCAGGTACGTGTTTTAATGCTTCATGGAAGAACCAACAAGGAGATCTAGACATCACTTCTGATTGGGATTAAGGTAATGAGCCCTATCTGATGTCAGTGGGGATTGTTTACAGTACCGCAGCAAACACTGACGTATGGGTCTGGACCCATATGTTAGCCACCGCTACTGCATCAGCAGTATTGCAGAGAATTTGCATCAGCAGTACTGCATCAGCAGTATTACAGATGGGGGTGCACAAAGCCGGGTCAGTTTACCCAACTACCTTCCTCCTCTTAACTATAACTTATATTCAATTTATGTCTCTCGAAAATAGATATGAACATACTTTTTTAAAAAATAATACTACATATTGTGAATTTGTGATCCTTACCTTTACATTTGAGTTATGACGAACAACTTTATCGATTATATAAAAGAAAGGATGACTTCTTATCCAAACAAATCCTATAGTAATGTCTTTTTAACTTTCAGTGACTAACATATAAACCATCAAACGAGTCCATATTAAAGGATAATACTACGAAGAATTGTCATCCCACATTTTTACACTGCCACTATCAGTTAAAACTGAAAACCAGCTCACCCCAAGCTCACCAAGAATCTTCGAGAAACTTATAAACTCCGCCGAAAAATCTCGGACAAACCCGCGGCTCACACGCCTCCACGCACCCAAACCCCACCCTAGAATATCCTCTCCTTGGCCACCGCGCCGCCACATCAGCCTCCCCAATCTCCCCGCCCCACGCGCGAGCGCCAATCGCGAGCCGCCTTTAGATTTCCCAAGATAAGGACTCGATCCCCCCTCACTTCCCGCGCTATTTAAACTCCCGCGCCATCTCCAACTCCCAACTCACACTCGCTCGCTCATCGCCATCTCTCTCAGCTCTCACAGCTCACTGCATCAATGGCCGCGGCCACCATGGCGCTCTCCTCCCCGGTGATGGCCCGCGCGGCGCCGTCGACCTCCTCCGCGCTCTTCGGCGAGGCGCGGATCACCATGCGCAAGACCGCCGCGAAGCCCAAGCCGGCGGCGTCGTCGGGGAGCCCGTGGTACGGCGCCGACCGCGTCCTCTACCTCGGCCCGCTCTCCGGCGAGCCGCCGAGCTACCTCACCGGCGAGTTCCCGGGCGACTACGGGTGGGACACCGCGGGGCTCTCCGCCGACCCGGAGACGTTCGCCAAGAACCGGGAGCTGGAGGTGATCCACTCCCGGTGGGCGATGCTGGGCGCGCTCGGCTGCGTCTTCCCGGAGCTCCTCGCCCGGAACGGCGTCAAGTTCGGCGAGGCCGTGTGGTTCAAGGCGGGCTCGCAGATCTTCAGCGAGGGCGGGCTCGACTACCTCGGCAACCCGAGCCTGATCCACGCGCAGAGCATCCTCGCCATCTGGGCGGTGCAGGTGGTGCTCATGGGCGCCGTCGAGGGGTACCGCATCGCCGGCGGGCCGCTCGGCGAGGTCGTCGACCCGCTCTACCCCGGCGGCGCCTTCGACCCGCTCGGCCTCGCCGATGACCCCGAGGCGTTCGCGGAGCTCAAGGTGAAGGAGATCAAGAACGGCCGCCTCGCCATGTTCTCCATGTTCGGCTTCTTCGTCCAGGCCATCGTCACCGGCAAGGGCCCCCTCGAGAACCTCGCCGACCACCTCGCCGACCCCGTCAACAACAACGCCTGGGCGTACGCCACCAACTTCGTCCCCGGCAAGTGAAGTGGGGGACCGTAGCTTAGCAGTGGTTAATTGTGGTTGGATGGATTTGTGGCCAGCGAGTTCGTTGTCTTTGGGTTGGGGAAGATGGGTTTAGTGCGACGAGATGATGATCGAGTTGGTGTTGTGTACACTAAGAAGATGAAGAAGAAGATGATGTTTTTGCAATAATGATTTTATTCGTTTCCCAACTAATGGTCTAGGTACTTATCCGTGGTGTTATTCTGATTAGCGGATTTCTCATCTCTATTAGATCGGAAACAAATACTCCCTCGATCCCAAAATATAACCATTTCTGGCTATGTATAGTGTAAATATGTAGTCTAAATTGTTTATATTGTGGCATGGAAGGATTAATTAGTGCTTTAAATTTACGTATACAATAGATTGGGTCGAATCTACGAAGATAATGGATCCTCTGATTTAGTGGGTTAAAATCCAAAGCGTTTGGTCTTAAAAAAAAAATCCGAAGCGCACAATAAAATGAGTCTGCTGCTACAATATACAACTTGTTCATATTATAGCATTTCACAGTAAACCACGAGTGGGGCTGCTATACAACGGAATCCCGTTCTAATAGGATGATATCAGTTAGGTATCAGGGTCCTGATACCTACCTCTGAGATATCATGTCTTGAAACCTAACCGGTATCAAGTGATATCTATCAGATATCAGACGATACTTATCATGATTCCTACTACGTATTAGGTGATACTTATCAGGTATCAGATGATTTCCACCACATGTCGAATGATACTTGCAAGGTATCGGATGATACCTAGCTACCAGATATCAGGTGATTCCTACTAGGTATTAGGAGTCGAGCACTGAGGCGTCATCGCCAGTGGCCCCACCCTCCACACCCCATGCTGGAGCTTGTCGCCGGCGGTCGCATCCTCCGTCGTCCATGCCCCACGTCGGAGGTCATCGTCGGTGGCTGCATCCTCTAACATCCACGTGCCTCATGTCAAAGCTCATCGCCAGCGGCCATGTCTTCCATATTGAGTAGGTCCTCCACTATCCACGCGCCACATCAGAGCTCATCGCCAGCTGCTGCCGCGAGCACGTCCTCCACCGTCCACGTCACACCGGAGCTCGTCGCCGGTGGCTTTGTCATCCTCGCTCCACATTTGTCCGACAACTGCTCCATCCCGGCCGTTGTCGCAGCCCATGTCCACCGGCTTCGACTCCGCGTTCGACCACTCCGGCAACAACTCCATCCCTGCCGCAGCTCATGTCCGCTGGCTCAGACTCCATGTCGGACCACTCTAGCTACAGTTCCATCCCCGTCGTAGCCCACATCCGCCGGCTCCATCTTGGCGCCCGGACATTCAGGCGACAACTCTGTCTCGGTTGCCGCCATAGCACATATCCGCTGGCTCTTGGCAACGTATACTTATTGTATTGTTGTTCGATGAACTACTCGTGACAACAACAAACTACTGAGTTTTGTAAAATCTGCTCAAACAGTACATAACACGATTTAAGGCTATATAAATTTTAGCAACCGTCGATGGTTGACAACTATAAGGTAGAAACGTTGATGACGTGCGCATCGTCACACCGTACCAACCGAGCCAACGCTAGAGCTAACAGAGGGCAGTTGTCTTCACCGTGAAGAGATCACCGAAAACCAGGAAAAAAATTAACGTTATTGGCAATGCAAGGAAAAAAAAAACAATTTTCTTGTCCGAGCTCGATCTGCCACCGCGTTCTTCACTATCACCAAAAATCTTGTAAAAAGGTTGTTATCAGTAGAAAAAAAAATTCTTCCGCTGTCCGAGCTCAACGTCGTCGTCTCTGCCTTCGCCACTGGTCGCTCGTACGGGTGGATGCATTGCATGGTGGCCACTTGTACATGTCAGTTTCAGCACACGCACCCATGCCAATAATCCCGACAATTAGCCTCTCAACGTTCGAAAACCAGCCGAGTCGAGTCGAGCCCACTTTGGCACCTTGCTTCCACCACACACACACACACACACACAAACAACCAAACAAACCCAAAAAAAAAAAACAGAGAGAGAGAGAGAGAGAGACCATGGTAACACAGCCAAACAGGCCACGTTACTACTAGTAGTAGGTACCAACCGGCCCAGCAGAAATATCTCCCGGAATCCACCGGCGGAGAACGTGACACTCCCTCGGCGTCTACTGAAATTCACCGCGAAAAACTAGGCAAAAATCCGGTCGCCGCTCGCTAGGCGCTTGGCTCCGGCTCTGGCGCCGATCGATCGAGAGCTCCGATCCTAGCCAATGCGAGGCCACGTCAGCCGCCTCATCATTCACAAAAAAAAAAAAAGAAAAAAAAAGAAAAGAAGAGTAAACCGTACTTTGCACAGGCAGATTGTGTCTTGTTTCACTTTGCATCAGGTTTACCATATAATTTTACTTTACATCAGGCTGGATTGAAATAAGTTCATAAAATTGAAGGAAAATCTTGTGAAATCCAAATGAAACCTTTTTGAATTTAGATCGAAGTTTCATTCAAATCTCAAATAAATTATGTACGTTTGATGATGTATCCTAGAGTAAAGTTAAAGTACGTGCTAAACCTGGTGTAAAGTGAAAGATACAATCCACCAGACATAGAGTGCAATTTACTCAAAAAATATTTCAGCAAAACAAATATTTTTTTTATAAAAGTGTATTTACATAATTGGCAAGGGGGATATCAAGTACCAGAAGCACATATAGTGTGATGGTAAAGCATGCACAGTTGCGAGAATGAGAGGGTGCATGACTATGCCCATCAGTACTTAAAATCCTGATACGAACAAATATTATGCCCGTGCTGCATTACCACGCTTTTCATAGAATTTTAGTAGTGAGGTAAGTAATTGACTCTTATCTCGCTCTCTTTAAGCGTGCGTTAGAAAACATGCTCAGAAGAACTAGAGAAGAAGTGAGAAGAGGATATAAAAAAGAAGGATGAAATGTGGGCTGCAGATTGAACCTGCTCACTACAACAAGCAGTTTTCCTATAGGCTCGTTCCTAGTTTGTACTGCTTCCATCCCATAATTTGGACAGGATATGTCACATCCTATTCTAGGTTGCTAGGGCCAAAGGGAGTAGTTACGAGTACCAGCTTGCAATGGAGTTTGTAAAAGTTTGTGCACAAACACTTGTCCAGCTTACTGAAAAGGCCTGAAACTATTGCCCATCGAACAGAGTAAACCTGAAATTCAGTAACCTCATAATTTTCACAAGTTAGTTCAGCTAGTCCTCAGTTCACATACTCTATTCTGTAGCTCATTGAACAATGCTAAAGATTCTGCCCATAGCTTCTTGGCCACTTCAACGTTGTATGACAACTGAGAAGACGTTATGGTCCTTCCTTTCCCTCCAAAGAAATACTTTCCAGATGAGTCCTAAAGCCCAATGTAAAAATTCATCCCGAAGGTTAACCGGAGAATACAGTACATCATGTTGTTATTTATAATGTAATTGTTTGCTAGGATTGAACAGGAAGCTTACAGGTGGTGCCAAAGCGGCATCAAGGACAGCATCAACTCCCGTATCAGGTTGTTGTAGGAGATTCAGGAGGCGCAGAACAGAAAGCGCAAGCCAAGAAAGACATGGAGGAAGCTCCCGCATTATGCCTGTCTGTACTACACCTGGATCCGCAGCCCTGGGAGCATGAAATGTCATACTTCATATGAATAGTAAGCAACTTCAATTTCGAACTGGTAAAATAAGTTGCATTCTCATAAAAAAAAATAAAGGGTTGGCATGAATCACAATAGTTTTGATAAACTGCCAAGAGCGTAATGTTTGTCAGTGGCATTGAGATGAGCCATCCTAATCTATCCTTGCACTTGCACAGGAAACCTATGAAGCAATCAAGTATATTCTTCAATGATTTCAATATAGTTTCAGTAGAGGTTGACTTGGTGACTACTGGACAGAAGTTCTTGTAAAATTTTAATCATCTAAATGAAAAAAAAAATCACTTCCATCAGCAATAATTTGGATTTGTTCAACAAAGAAAATATGCAAAAGAAAAAAAAATGCATGCAACCAAAATCGATGGCACATACATGACGGAGACACCAGAAGATAAGTGAAGTTGTCGATGAAGCTCGTATGAGAACATCAGTAAACAAACTGGAATAAGAGAAAGTGAGCCCAAAGGAAATAAAGTTGCATTAAGCCTATTCAAAAATAAAAGTGACGTACATTTGGTATACTCATAAGTAGAAGCTAAGAGATAGCTTCTCCTCGCTGGCCAATGACCAAACCTTACTCCGCTCAATCCTTTCTCAGACAAGTTAATTTCTGACACTGGAGATGTGAAATTTGCAAATATTAACCAAAATATAATAACCAAACCACATGTCTAGTTCTCATGGAGAAAGAAAGGAAGCAGATATAATAATGGTAGGATCTGTCTGAAATGCAACTTAATATTTTGATATATCATCAATTTTGAGCTACTATAAGAGCATATGCCAAACGCAAGCAATTTGCAAACATATGTACTGATTCAAAAGTGTGGCAGAGAAACGTCTGTCCGACAAGATTTCAAAAAATGCAATTTACAGCAAACAAGATCTGCGTAGCAAGGGAAAAATAATTGGACAAATTGATGCCAATTAATGTATATGCAATTAAAATTATTTTCAATCTAATCCAGATACAATTCACATAGTTTTCTTGCTATTTATAATAGAAGACTTGACACTTACCACATCTGTGTGTGAAAGACGTTAGATTAACCACCCGAGAAGGTGTTGAGCTGTTCTTGAGCAATGGTAACAGAATGTTGGTCAGGACAAATGGACCAATGTAGTTTGCCTGAATCATTCTGGAAATCGTGTGTGGTAAGTTTCACTCAAACAGTAGATTAAAAAATGTAATAATGACATAAGTAAAGCATGTATAAGAAGAACATTAGAATTTCTTCTGCAAAAGTACTTTCAACATAAACACCTACTCATCAAGACCGTCCTCTGTAATTCGATATGACTTTGCTAGGATCCCAGCGTTATTGACCAAAAGCTGAATAGAGTGCTCCATATTTGAGTCCTTGATCCACTGATTCAGTGAAGTTTCAAACTTCTTTATTGACTTGTAGGATGACAAGTCGATTTGAAATGCTTCAAGATGGGCATCAGGTTGTTGATCCCGAATTTGTTGAACAGTCTGTTTTGCACACATCACCACAATGATGACAATGGGTAAATGATAAGATAAGACATCTAGCTAAAAGCTCCAAATAATACCTCAGATAACAATTGTGAAGAACGCCCAGCTGACACAAAATAGAATGCATATAGTGTTTTAGTCCAATAATACCAAGCGACCAACAAGGTTGAATCAATTCAACAACAAAATCAAGGAATACTTTCTACTCCAAAACTATAGCAATTGGCAAGTAGGAAACAAGTCAATATGAAATGAAGTAACATCTACAATTGTAGATGCAAAAGAAGACCAACTAACCATAGGACAAGTAATGAACATTTTACCAAAAGATTGCATACACATTTGCGTATTCAACAAATGAAAAGACGCACTACTTTTGGATTGGAAAGGACCTAATTAATGAAGAACAAGAGCATAAGCTTCTACAGGTTCAATACTTCACGAAATCAAGCAACAGCAAGGAAATTAGTGCTACAACAACCCCATGATTTGGACCGTTGGCAATGCTCGAGTCAACAACCAAAGATGCACACAGGGTGTTCGATGAAATGCCCACACAAGCACCGAAAAAGAAACAGGCGACCCACCGAGGATGACGTGGTACCCCTCCCGCGCCAGCGCCGCCGCCGCCGCTTTGCCCAGCCCCGACGTCGCCTGCACACGCATACACACACACACACCCCACCCACCATGAGCTGAGCACATCACAAGACGGGGAGACTCGAAAGAGAGAGAGAAGCGACTCCATCTGCAAGCAAGCAAGCAAGAAAGAGCGGAGGCGAGAGCCATCGGTTACCCCAGTAATCACGCAGACGGGGCGGCGGCGGCGGCGACGAGCGGCGTCGTCGTCGGGCTCGGGCATAGGTCGGAGGCGAGGGACGGGGGCGCCGCGGCGGAGGAAGAAGAGGAGGATGTAGGAGTAGAGGAGGGAGACGGTCCACAGGACGGCCATCCGCCAGAACTCCCGCGAGCACACCATGCGGAGCGCTTCGCGGTCCATGGCCGCCGGCGGCGGCTGCTCGGCGAGTTGTCAAGTTGCCACCGGGAAAGAGGGGCCACAACGGACGGTTCGGATTAGGGGAGAAAATTGAGATTGTGCCGTCTTCAAAAGGGTTTCGCTTTCGCTCAAATGCCATGCTGAAAATAGGATTAGTTAATTAAAATGCCACTTTTAACTGAAGGTTGCACGCTATAATATTCAAACTGACAAAAATATTCTGTTGCTATCTTTTTTCCGCCTTTATCGTCGACGACGCACTGCCGCAAGCTGATGGGGCCGCCTTCGTCTCCACCTTCACCACTCCCAAGGCGCATAGCTACCGCTCCCTACGGCAGGGGAACCGGATCCGTCCACCGGCCTCAGCCGCCTCCGCCTCCACTAAGCCCACCACCACCGCCGTTCGGGAAGAAAAGGGAAGAAAGAAGATGGTAGCTGGCATGTAAGTCCCACATTTTTTTTTCTAACGACCTAGCTATGGGATCTAAATTGCATAGTTTGTATAGCTACGGGTGAAGATTTATGGAATCAAGGATACGGGTGAACTTATTTCAAGTAGCTAATACGTGATGGTTTGATGGGCTTTCCATGGCTGGTAGTACTTCGGCTGTTTTTAATGGGCTTTTGACATTTAAAAGCTAGTGGACTGCCTCCCTTTGCTCAATACTTCAGGGGCCCGCGAGTGAAGATGCCACCCTAGCCCTGGCCCCGCACGATCCGCGGATAGATATTTGGCCCCGGCCCCATAGGGGGTGGGGAACTTCGGATCCGACAGGGTAATTGCCATCCCTAGGCGAGATCTGACGGTAGAGAAAGTTTGGACTTAAGAAATTAATAGGACACAACTACGAAACTACTAGTCGTTGGTTTGTTTTAGAGCAGTGACCACACCATCTCAAGTATAAATCCCCTTTTAGCTTAAAAGAAATACAATTGTGCATATCTTTTGTTAACCTTTTCAATGACTTAAATCTTTTAAATCACATATTATTTTTAAGATATATTTGCATCCGTGTACTCCACTCAAAATATTTGACAAAAGAGATCCATGTTGAATATATTCAAACATCTTATTAATTTAAAAGCATTTTATTTAAATTGTAGAAGTAACTTAGCTATGCAATAGAAGTAACTCGCTATAGCATTAGAAGTAATTACATTATGAGTGAGTGAAATTAGAAGTTATGTGGAGTAAATTCAAAAGCAAAGTTTAGAGAAGATTTTTAAGTAAATACATTTATCAAAGTAAATTCAATAAATCCTGAAAGTAATTCACATAAATCATAAAAGTAACTTAGTAAAAAATGGAAGTAAGTTGTTATGAAATTAGAATTAAATCCGTTGTAGGGAAAAAATTATGATCTATCCAGAAATCATAATTAGCACAAATTATAGAATTGACTAAAAACAATAATAATAAGTGTAATCAACTCAAAGCATTATAAATATATTAGAAGTAATTTAATCAAATCTAAAAGTAATTTTTATATATGATAAAAGTAACTTACGTATATAATAAAAGTAATTCATAACATAAATGTTTTTTCATCATGATATAATCATATAAGACCTTCTTATAAAGATTTAATTACAATGAACGTAATGTTGTAGCTGGATCATAGATCAAATAAATAATTTAAGAGAATTTTCTAAGAAGAAAAAAAGCACGCATAACCTAATAGAAAAAAAAACTTGCATGTCTGTAGACGTGTAGTAGTACTTCTCTCACATATGGCTGGCGTCGCTCGTTAAGCCTAAATCGAGAGGCCCCTCGAAGTAGATTTTGTGAAATTAATAACCATGTGTTTGGTTTGGAATGGGATAAGTTAGGTCATCATAGGTTGCCCATATTTCCTAATAAGACAAAAACGGTTTATTAGGAAATAAAAATTAATTTGCAGTTAAAACTTTTATGTGTTTTTAGTGATAAGTCAATGCTGAAAAAGAAGCTATGTGATAATATCCTAAAATCAACTTGAAATTAAATTTGAAATTCAAATTTTGCCTTTTTTTTTTCCTTTGGTTTATTAGAGCAACCAATGGGGTATTTAGGTAAGGATGAATTTTTTTATGGCGTTTGATTCGGGACAGATAAGGTGGGATGATCACTAAAAGGAAAATATTATTCCCTCAAAATCTAGGTTAGCTCCATACGACTAATCAATTTAACACACTTGCTCTTTATCATTAGCATACAAACCACACCCTTTTACAGCATTTCTTAAGAAATATGACAATTTTATCTCTCATGCCAAAAAACACATGAATACTACGATCTTTCTCTACCTCTCACTGTGGGATTTTTCTTCTTTCTTTTTTTGTTGCCGATACTTTTATTTTATTATTGTCCTTTTTGGGTTGTTGTGGATAGGAAAAAGAGAAAGATGAGGTGGATTCGCGAAAGGGCCTGTAGCCTAGTGGTTACAAGAGCCTCAGTAACACCTGAGGTCCTGGGTTCAACTTCCCATGGGAGTGAATTTTCCAGGATTTAACGGCGTTGTGCTTTCAGTAGTAGGCGACGTACCCGTCGACAGCGAGCGGTAGGGTTTACGTGCGTGTGTTCACAGGGGTGAGTGCGCGTGCGTTGTACTGTGTAATTCGTGTAATTCTTAAAAAAGAAAGATGAGGTGGATTCATCATTTTATAGGCCACATTTCCTACCCATTTGTACAGTTTCTCTTCCTTTTTTCTTGTTGGCCACATTTCCTAAGGAGATACTCCCTCCGTTTCACAATGCAAGTCATTCTAATATTTTCTATATCCATATTGATGTTAATGAATCTTTTAGATGTTAATGAATCTTTCATTAGAATGACTTGCATTGTGAAACGGATGAAGTATCAGGAGGAAGAAAAAAAATCCTCTTTATTCAGGAGGAAGAAAAAGAAAATCCTCCTTGTAATAAGATAACCAATTCATGAACTATAAACCTCCCGTGCGAATGTCAGAGCTTGTTGATATGCATTTGTCTTCGCAAACACAAAAAGAACATGACAGCTAAAAAGCATATACGAACAGTTTGTTCCATCTAAATAATAACTAATGTACAAAACAGCTCCTTCTATCGCCCCTGTTTAGAACAAAGAAATGAAAAACACGAGAATATGGAAAAAAAATATTGTAAAGTGAAAAACTATGGAATTCAAAACTAACACAAAAACAGGAGATGTAGGAAAATCCCACGGGGAAACATAACTATAGGATTTTTTTTATAAAATTATTTTTTGGTAGCATCATAGAAAAAGCATAGGAATTAATAGTCAAAAGGAAAAGAAAACATGAGGTCTAGCCTCATGTTAATTCTCCAAAATCAGTATGAAATGAGCAATTCAATATAAATGTAAAAAGGATTTTGTAGAAATTATTCCTTTGTTCCAAAGGACAATGTAGGAATATATTTTTTTCAATGGATTTCAAATCCCTCAATAATTTCTCCAGTTTTCTTTTGTTCCAACGGAGATCACATGAAAAACCTAGGAGATCAACAAAGTGACAGGGGTTTCCTTTCGCTCACTCCATAGAGTGGAGGATTAGCTTCCTTTCCCAAGGAATTCAACATCTTCCATTTGTACTGACTTCCAAACAAGCTTCTAGGGAAAAAATTCCAAAGGAATGCAAACCTCCAGAATTCCTCCAAATGTACCTTGTTCCAAACGGGAATGGGTGATTTCATAACGCAGATGAAAATAACAAGAATCATTTTACTCCAGCCGAGAAGATAATGTAGGACATGGCCGAGCAAAAATGTTCCCCACGAAAATAACACGAATGCAGGAACCAGATGCCTTGCATAATGATATACTCAAGTCCAACGCAGCAAGTCACACCAGTACAAAACTTATTCACAAGATGGGTATATCTGTTGCAAACTACAGCTACTGGAAAAATACACACATGCAGCGGCAAAGGTCAGCAAAAGAACTGGATTAGGGTAAAACATATAATCATAATAATAAACAAATCGACCTGTAAGTAATCCCCCCCCCCCAAAAAAAAAAGGAAAAAAGAAAAAGAAAAGAGTACCAGCATATTTCTTGGCGCCACTGAACAGCATGTGATAGAAGGGCCAAGTTGCTGAATTGAACTCCCCCGTTCAAATCAATCGCCTCAGATAAGGCAAACTCCGCAGTGGTAGCTTTACAATGGTAGTGTTCCTCAAAGGAGGATGTGACAAAATCATTCCAAATCCTGACTTCCTCAGTGGGTTTCATGATTTTGTTTCCAGAAAATGTACATCGAGTTCATCAGATCTTCTTGGGAAGATTATAGGTTTTCTTTAGGAACTTGGTAGCCGTCTCATCATAACGGTAGCACAGAACTCGCAGGACTGTGTTGGGTTCGTTCGGGCTCCAGTGCCCTGTTGTTGGTGGCAATGGTAACCTATTCTTGGCTCCAGATCGATTAGACTCAGCCATCATGCGTTTGAATCGGTCAATAAGGCTCTCGGAGTCTGTTCGTAGGAGGGGTAGGACATTCTTGACCTGGGAGGATGCCTTATCGACCAATTCCTCTGGCAAACCATCACCATCTGCTAAAAACAGGTCTTTAAGGGCCTTGAAGTCATCCTCTATTATCTGGGAGTCTTGACGGGTGAAAGCACGCAAAGGCCCACCAGCAAGAAGCACCAGCAAGAACCCATCAAAAGTGGCTTTCATCAATGCGGTTATAGCACGGTTCCGCACTTTGTTATGCACCATACCAGATATGGTCTCTAGTATAGGGTCGAGTTCTCTCAACAATATCTCGATCCTACTTGATGCAATGTCACCAATATAAAGGATATCCCAGAGAACGTGCCCCAAATCATAGAATGTCACCTTATATGCAGTTGTCTCACATAACTGCTGAATGCCCTCTTGACAGGCTGTCTGACAAAGCTCAAATTTGATGTCCAATCCATCGGTAACATCTGCCTGAGCTGACTCGACATTCCGCAAGCCTGTTTTTATCTTCTTCTCTAAGTTCTCGAGTTCACCTCGCACGAATTGAAGCGTATTCAAGCGTACACAGAGTTGAGGAAGGGCTAAGGGATCAGCGCCATTGGTTGTTCCATTTTGTGATCCTCGGTACTGTGGATTCTGTGGCTTTTCCTTTTTCTTGAACAATATATTCGATCCTACCTCGCATCGTGTCAACGGAGGTAGTTGGGGCATAAAAGAATTCCTTGTTCCTGTAATTAATGCATGTTTAAAATATGAACATTTGTACCCTGCATCTGAACACCATGTTATAGAAAAATGTGCCATGAGCTCAGTACTTACCACAGCCAGATTTTGCTTTAGACACAAAAAGCTGTAGGCTTCTATCAAGTCCAAACATCAGGTCAGGAAGAAGAACTGGATGCATTGGAATGGGCAATTGGAAAAATGCATCTAATGTTTCACCAACCATCCGAAGCATCTCCACACAAGAGGGAGCAATATTCTCTCTGTTGGCAGCTGGATTCCAAGTCTGCATGAAAGACATTGACAGACTTAGTGGAATTTTAGAACAGGAAAATCAAGCTAAGTTAATTCAAACACAATATGTCAAGAACAAGTTGGACTCATCATTCAAGAAGAATATTCAGGACAATTACATCTCACAAGTTGACTGAGCCAATCTAACATTTGGTTTACACATAGCATGCATCTGGATGTGACTCAACTAGCTATAATTTTTTTTCCATTCTGAAAAACTGGTGTGATGTCAAAATTTTGACTGCAAATCAAACAAATGCGGCAATTTTGGCAGCCATAGTTGGGATAAGATGAGAGAATGAACATATATCAGAGCCCAGATTGGAGATTGCAGTCATCAATGACACATGGATATGGACGGTTCAGGAAAAATAGCAGATAATGTTTACAAGTGTTATGCATCTACATGCACAGAGTAATTTAGTCTTATCGTAATAAAAATCACAACAACATGCATCATCAGTTACTAAATTAAGATAGTTTCTGTTTATACCAAAAGAAAAAAATATGTACTGTGAAATAAAGTAAGAGCACCTCTTGTTTCAAAGTCCGATCAACCCATCCCTTGAGCCTGTCTATCCTTTCTTTAATCCAAACTTTCACCAGGTTAGCAATTGCATTTTCAGCTTCATATGGTGGCATCTCTCTGATTAATGACTTGCCTCCATCATCACTATCCACAGAATCTTCAACTGCAATATTAACAAGATCCTTCTCTAATTTATCAGCAGCCTTAAGCACTTGAACCGTATCTGGGGTCAGCTCTGTAAGTCCAGCTATGAACTGTTTCAGCTCATTTCCAAAGCAAGAATGAAGGGTGGCAACAGCAACGCCTGAAGCAAGGGGATGCCATGTCTTTAAAATTGGGCTGTACAAATTTTTCTCCTTAATTGCTAGGTCACCAATGTCCTTTGCAAGGATAGACAGAACAGGGGTAGGGTTTCTTGATGACCGCTTGGAATCTGCTTCTTCCATTCTCTGCAAAGTGAAAGCTGTGTCACATTACTGTGCTACTGCACTATAGAAAAGACGTACATGAAAGGATCAACTAGCAAGATTTGAAAAGTTCAAATTATATGGTTCAAAAGAAACAAAATTACTAATAGGATGGCTTGAGTTTGAACAAAACAGTTTCTTGTGGTTGATTACCAGGAATCTACTTTCTAGCTTTTCTTCCCCAAAGCGCATTAGCCATTAAAAGTAAAGATATTGCAATAATCTAAACAAGGCATCTCAGCATACCAAAGTATGGAATATAACATTTAATCAATATGAATCAGAGTGAGAAATAATAGGGACTTACTTGAGCAAAAGCTGTACGGAGTGAAGACCTTATGTAGGTCTCTATCCTGCTGCGAGCTACGTCAGTCTCTTCTTTCCTCCTCCGACGGTATTCATGGGATATATCTTCAACAAGAACCCTTGCAGCTGACACTCCAATTGACACAATACCTTGCATGGACTCAATGTTACTTGTATTGAAGGTCTCATGGTAAGCCAGAAGTCTTTTCTCTGTCCAACCCATTATTGAGCTTAAAGTTGAACTCAACACTTTGCTGTAATTTGGATCTTTTGTGGTTTTGGCATCCTTTGCAACTTCGGCCAACTGATTCTCCGCAGCAGAGAGCAACTCAATATCTACTTGCCCGGACATAACAAAATGGTTGAACAATGCCCAAGCAAAGCAAAGGTTGTGAAGCATCTGGTTAATTCCCAGAATACCCCAGGTCTTCTTTAAGAGCTCCATCACCTCATCAATCTCATCAACAACAGTGCCATCATCATTATCAAAGCAAGCTTCTACCAACATCTGGTATAGATGGAGATTCAAGGGGAAACCATCAGCCCAGTGGCATCCGTCAGAAGTCCCATCATCAGACCTACCAGCAAGGGACATGACAGCACTACGTAGGACCTGCATTGACTCAGAGTTTTTCCCAGTTTCAAGTGGTCTATCGTATGCTCCACGTATAATTTGCCGCAGTCGTTGTGCAGAAACATCTGATTTGTTCAATGGAACAAGTGGGTGAACAAGCAAACCAGCCTCAAGAAGCTTCAAGTTCCTACTCTGCCATGCCTCGTACTCTTGAGGATCAGGGATATCTGATGCCTTGAACTGCTGTAGGAATTCTAAGGGCAAGACCATAGATTCAGCACGCCTGCCAAGCTGTTTCAAGAAAAAGAAAAATGGAGTTCAAACTTGGTACCAACAATTACAGGAACAGGCGTTAAGTCCCGAACAATAATAGAGCAGAGTAGAGTATCTTTGATATGATATATACAATAAGATCATGTTTGGCTTGTTGACATCAAACATGCTAAAAGTCCAGAAAACACAAACACACATTCAGCAACATGTCAATACTTAGCTATGTGTTTGTTTAAAGTTTAAACTGTCCAATGTTGTTGATCTGTTAACACATCTATCAAACAGACCATGTCATAGGAGGGTATATAAAAACATAAAACATATACAATAAAAAAAATAATCAGGCAGCTAAAGCTAAACTGCCAAACTTACAATGGTCATCTAAAGCCTGCAAATTTGCTCTTTTGGGGAGAAGACTTGGCAATAAAGATCTAAATATCATCATTCAGCACAGTTTAACTAAGAAACCTACTGAAGTGGAGATGTGCAATGAATCAACCATTTTCAGAATGCATATAAGACAACTTAGAGCATGAAGGTCAAGGCAGGAAGCTCAACACTCAGGGTGTAGATTTAGGATGTTTTGGTTATGACAGAGTAGCTTCTGCAATTAAGATAATCCAGCAATTAAGATAATCCAGTAGATACCCTCGCTCCTCCCTCCTCCCACACTCAGTACGCTGCACTCAGCACTAAAATCACAAATTTTACGACACTTTGTAGAACTATCTTTCTTCAATACTGCCTCTAGTACATGGATGCCTCTAGTACATTGCTCATGGATGACTGCAGTACATTGCCATATACTGTTTCCATTCCTCAAAACTGCGGTAAAATAAAGATGTCTTTGTTTTGTAGTGAGCATGACAAGAATAAATGGCTAATTGTCCTTTTGTGGAGACACATCCAATCTACAAACTTATGAGCATGCATAAGTAAAATAGCAAAAAACATTTCCGTCACTTTGTACTTATCAAAAACAGTCCGATGATAACATTACGAACCCATTTCAGACACAGGAAAAATCATGTGTGAAATGAATTAATCTACGGTGAAATTGATATAAAATCCATGCATTCGAACAAAACACTAAATTATTGTCCTTGTTGACATTATAAGATATGCTAGCAACAACCATTTGGATGTGACTCTATCGAGAAGAGTTGGTATGTATAGCTTTGCTTTGTACAATGCATCCGAGTATCCTACTACTGAAGCAAAACCGCAGATCAAGCTAAGAATCATGGTATTGAAACAGTCATAGTAATAATAATAAAAGGCGCACATAAAAATTATCTTGAGAAAACGTATATTGACTAAGTTCCAACTTCCGAGGCTATATGATAAACAAATCACAGAAAATAACTGGATATACTCCGGCTGGCACCAACAAATTACAAGATCTACGGGTAAAAAAAAAGGAGAGAGAGAGTTCATTTTTTATTCCCCTCCCGAGAAAAAAAAAAGGAGATATACTTCAAGTTAATGCATTTTCCCATTCTAACTAAAAATACGCGGAAACAAAAACAGAAATACGAGAAACGAGGGTATTTTTAGCGAAATTTGAAACTCTCGCGAACCCTCCCACGAAACCCAACCCAGATCTACCACAATGGCGATGATCAGATGAGAAAAACTTGAAGCTACATTTTTCACCCGAAATCCCGCTGGGAACGAACGCGCTAACAACCAAAACCACCCGAAGCCAAGAGAGCTCGAGATCCTTTCATTTACCTGACTCGCGGCGATGCGGAGGAGGCCCCTCCGGATCCTGGCGTCGGCGGGCTCCGAGACCCGCATCTGCACGCGCATCAGCTCCCCGACGGTCGCCGGCCGCCGCGGCGGCACCGACTTCCCGCCGCCGCCGCTCCCGGGGCTCCCACCCTTGGACGACGCCGACGACCTCAGCCCGAGCGCCTTCTTCATCTTGCTCGCCGCGGCGGAGGTGAGCGAGCGCTGGAGCGACGGGGAGGAGGAGGCGTTCGCGGAGGAGAGAGACGAGGCGGAGGCCGGGGACGCCGGCCCACCACCACCACCCGCCGATGCCGCCGCCTGGGGGATGTAGGTGAGCGGCTTCCCTCCCGTGGTGCGGGACGAGGCGACGAGCACCTCGTAGGCGGCCTCGCGGAGGTCGGCGGCGGAGAGGGGGACGCCGAGGTCGGGGAACGGGGAGGGGAGGCCGCCGGTGGAGGCCGTGGCGGCGGCGGCGGCGGAGGAGCCGTTGGAGGAGGAGGAGTCGCGGCGGGACTCGCGGAAGAGGCGAGACATCGCGGCAGCGGCGGAGGTAGTCGCCGTCGGTGGTGGTGGTGGGTGGGGAGCTCGCCGCGCTCGCTCTCGTGGTGAGGGGAGGAGGAGAGAGAAAGGGAGAGGAGGGGAGGTGTGCGTGCCGCTTTTTGTCCCGGAGGGATGATGAGGAGAGAGAAAGAGAGCGTGCTAATTGCAACGGGTACCCCAAGATATAGCCACTAGGTAGGTAGTATACTCCCTCGGTCCCAAAATATAATAGATTTTGGGTGGACGTGAGACAGTCGCATCTATCTAAAATCTCTTATATTTTGGGACAGAGGGAGTACAGAGCATTGATCCACAACCATGCAATTTTGAGGTTTCGAGGACGAAAGTAGATTTGGAGTGAAATTCCGAAAAGGTGAATTGGATACATGTCATTACTACTGTTACTATTCGTCTATTCATATCTATATCATCCGAATACGCACAAAATTGGAACCATATTATAGCCATCACGTTTTTCCATCTTCTTTCCCGATTTCTTATTCTTCTCCTATCTCCTCTCTCTCGCTCATTTCCCCTTCTGTTGATCGGACACAACAGCGGTGCCGACGCCATCACCGCCCCATATGCCCGCAACGCTGATGGTAGATCGGGCTTGCTTAGCCACAACAGCAACACCGATGCCATTGCTACCCCACATGCCGGTCCACCGAGCAACATGGAGGGCAAGGCGGTGGTTGTGAAGGGGAAGATCCGGTCGCTGTTGACTCAAGCGTCTCCCATCCCTCCCACAGCGACGCCTTGCCGCCTATCGCTTCTCTCCAGCAGCGATGGTGTGGCCACCGTCGATGCAAATGACCTGGCCACTAATATATGTAGGAGACGACCAACATGCAGAGAGGTGCAGTAGCAACGACCTCCTCAACAGCTAGGCGCGTGAGGTTGTGATGTATGTGAACAAGAGTCGGCGCTTCGCTGCTGCGCTAGCCACTGCCTCCCTCGGCGGCACCCTCCTTGTCGCCCGTCGCATCAAGTGGAGAGAGAAGAAGGGAGGATGGAGGAAGATGAAATTGACATGTGGGTCCCACGTCTAGAGGTATTTTGGTCTATATGATGACAAAAAACGTGAAAGCGATGGCATGGTTTTAATTTTACATGTATTTCGACGATATGGATACGAATAGACGAAGAGCAATGACATTTATCTAAAATGGCACATTTATAATGGCATGATCCAATTTACCCAATTTCGAATGGTTTTCGAGAGTTCAAATATAAAGAAGAAATTTGGACAAAATTTGATCAAAATTTATTAAAAATTGGCGAAACTTGTCATATGCTAGGATCTAAATCCAGTACTCGATTAGAAAAGTGAACCCTGATACATGTATAAGGTTTTCTTTTGATTTCTGAAATCATTCACTAGGTTAATAGCTTTTTGTTTCTTGTACTTAGGGAAAGTTTTTCTTTGCTATATATAATTGCAGATATGTAAGCTCAGACAGTTTACTGATACTAATTTGATCAAGTGTGGCACTATGATAGTACAACTTGTCTAGATTTATAGAAAATAAATCTTTATATTTGTAGACAGAGGTAGTAATATAAGTTTAACAATTGGCTCGTTTGCTGATGACGCCATCATTAACACATCTTTAATGCTAAATGATTAAATTTATGCCATTAACATCGGTGATCATGGTTGGATAGCTTAGTGTTGTTCTCTTTACCGATGGCATTCGTGATGACTTCTAACTGCCTACCGATGAAACAAAGATGGAGAGTTAGCATACGGTGACATTAACGATCAATATGGTTTAATGTTTCTCATTTTGATGTAATATTCTACTACAGCTTGTATGAATATTGCTCAACAATATAATATTCTACTACAATTTGTGCCACATATTCATGCCTAATGATGCGATACTCATTTCGATACTCATTTCGATGAAGTTTCTTATATTAGGACATATATACGTTCTCCATCCAAAAAGAGAATCTAGACTACAGTCAATATAGATTTATACGTATTTAAGCTCATTATCTGAAACGGCGTATTTTTAGCGCAATATTGCAATGACTAAGGGCGGAGATAGGAGTAGGACAGTTAGGGCTACAACTCTACTCCTGAGTCTAAATATCTATATTAGCTAGAATTATACTTTAAAACTTCAAAAATTAGAAGATTAAAGGCGAAGCTATATAAATTACATTAGTTGAGCTCCAGGCTTAGAAGAATCTTGGTTCTGCCACTGGCGACGACGTATTTTTGGAAGCCAGAAGTTGTCAAGGCAAATGCAATAATGGACACATGTAATCTTATGGGGTGCATTTCCAATCGTAACCGCAGCAAAAAGTTTTCGGCCAGTGCTGATCGATCTCCATTACCGTATGTGTCAAGGTTAAGCAAGGACTTAGGTACCATCAACTAATTCGTACCAGTTGTCACCCAGTAATTGCATATAGACCCTTACAGTAATACTCCCTCTGAAACAAGTTACAAGACGTTTTAACTTTGGTCAAAGGCAAATTACTTTAAGTTTAACTAATTCTATAGAAAAAAGTAGTAATATTTACAATACCAGCATAATTTCATTAAATCTATAATTGAATAATTTTTTATAATATATTTGTCTTAGGTTAAAAATATTACTACGTTTTTCTATAAAATTAGTAAAACTTAGAGTAGTTTAACTTTTATCAAAGTCAAAACTTCTTGTAACCTGAAACGGATGGAGTATTTTATATATAAGGAAAAAAAAGAGAAATAATTGCCTAGACCAGGTCCTTCGAAGAATCGTCAATCTGTCCAGTTGTCTGGTGAACCAAGTCCACGAGGATCGCAGGAAGTGCAGGTCCTACGTGGCAGGTATCGCTGGTTTTATTTCAAGTGTAGCTTCAAGTTCAAGAGATTCCAGTTTGATTGGAATAAGAAAAAGATATGTAATAAAGTGTTCTATAATAAGAAAGCAGATCTCGTAGTTTTACCATATTTGATAAGAAAAAATACATGCCGTTATAAAAAAAAAGTACGAGCGAAGGAAACGATACACTATAATGGGCATAAATATAATGGGCATAGTTGGGGTTTTCTCTACGGTTTTTAGAAAACAAGTTTAAATGAGAGGTAAGAGGCATATAAAATATTGTTAAATTGTCCTTTTAATATCTGCCATGTTGTTGGCAAATTGAATTTAATGAATATTGTCTAGGCTTTGAAGTATAATCATTTTAGTTTATCCTCTCCACGTACTTTCCTTAGAGAGCTTTTTAAAAAAAAATTGAGTTAAGTGGGTTTTGTCTATAGCAACCAAACTGTACCAGTTGACTGTTAGAAAGCATGTCCAAAATAAGAAACCTCTATGATTGATACTATTATGCATGCAGCAAGTAGAGTAAGGAAAGTTACTCTAGGATAAAGGAGAAGTTTATTTTATAACTCTGGTCTCCTAAAAATTATGGAAAATTCGGATTTTGGGCACCCCCTAAAGTATCAAAATATGTTCTAATAGTTTTAAGTCATTACTGATTGTCCATTGTTTAATGGGCTTTATTTAGAAAACGTGCACTTCATTAATGAAAAATAACCACTTTGATATAAAGTTTATTACATATAGCGATTTTTTTTTGAACAATGATAGTTGTGTGGATTTTAGAAGTAATATGACAAAATATTTTGTCCATACTCTTGAAGTAGTGGGTCACCAAACTATGCTTATGGTGGTAATTATGTTGCTATTTTGATAGATAGGGATATCTTTACAAAAATAATAAGATCGAATTGAACTATCAATTGCACATGATTTATGGAAACACAATGTATAGATTAATGTGTTATGTGCCAACCAAAAGTAAGTATGGCACTAGAAGAGGTAAACCTTATCAGAGCCGAAAAATCATCTTGTCACGGAACCATAAAAACTTCAAATAAAACCTCTTAGAGTATATGAGTTCTCAGGTTCACAAAACCTCGTATCAAGGCGGATCCACCACCCGACAAACTTAGACTAGCTAGCTGGATGCACAATAGAATTTGACTGTTTTTGATGAATCACAAAGAAAATTTTCATAACAAAAACACATTGATATAATATAATAGGATCAATTTGGCCATGCTTTAGAAATCTTTCTAATTTTAAGGTCGGCCACTGCCTACGGTTGAGTTGAAATTTAAACGACCTATGCGTTCACATTCCTAATCCCGCCGATCCTGCAAATGTTAATTAAATCGCTGTGAGTTTTTTATGTATAAGACACAGCTGCAAATATTTGCATGTATGGAATTTCAAATGGACGTACGCGTTAAATTAAATTTCAACGCCTCGTGAAAAGAACAATTCAATTTCAACGATTTCACGAGAAGAAAAAAAAATCACGGTTCTTAGCTGTTAAACTTCTCCGATCCGATGGTAGACGCGTGATCGTCGTACACAGACGCGTGAATATAATGTAGGACTACGGTTCTCGTACGAGATACAGGAGGACCGGCCGTTGAAATACATTTGAAACTTTTTTACTGCTCTTTAATTACCATTGCGCAATATAATGGAGAATTACCGCGGCCGATCGAAATGACCGGGATATAACGGTTATTTTTACAGTCACGCCTTAGGCCGTATTTAGTTCCACGTCAAAATTGAAAGTTTGACTAAAATTGAAAGTTTGAAGAAAAAAGTTGAAAGTTTACGTGTGTAGAAAAAAATTGTTGGGATGAAAAAATTGAAAGTTTAAAGAAAAAGTTAGGAACTAAACTCGGTCTTATCTAACTAAACACAGGATTAATCCGGTGGTGATTAATGAAGAGTGTGCTGATCAATGCGCAAAATTAGAGCACATTGTATTGACATGGTACACGAATTTAAGTGCAATCTAGTATATAAACTTGTAAAATACTTATTTTTTATATGAATTTGTTAGGTGTGTACCAACCAAAAAAAATAATAAGACTAATTTTGCTAGGCTCTCATCGGATGGCCTGTTCAGCCAAAGAAAAAGTTAAATTTTAAATTTTCAAACTTAATTTGGAGGTTGATTTTGAGATATTTTCAACGTAATTTCCTTTTTATATTAGCTTTTAAGTCACCAATAACACATATATAAAAGTTTTACCTACAAATTCGTTTTTATTCCCTAATAAGCCGGCTTATTAGGGAAAAAGCCAACCGATGGGGACCCTAATTTAAGTGTTAACATATCCTCTCTTATAACCCACTAACTCTTTAAGTTTGACATGCAAAGATGCCACATCATCATCCACTAACTATCATTACACCATATCATCATCCATTAACAATCATGACATTTAAACATCATGCAAACATGTTATATTAGCTATAACTTTTAAATTTATTAAATTTAAGATCATTATGTTTACATAATATTTCAATGTATATCTTCATTATGTTTTATAATATCCTATGTATCTATATAGTTCATCCTCACTTAGTTAGTGCTTAAATGATTAATGTATGTACAAATTATCTATATCATTTCTTCTCTAATTAAGCCATATCACCTCAATTGTTTATAGCCTTTAAATGATTAATCTACGATGCAAACTATCTTCCTACTTTTCCTCTTTCATAAATTCGTACCACCTTACGTTTACATTTGAATCATCAATCTACATACTATTTAAATTTAAATTATCATAAACCACACTAACTTACTTAATCTGATATTATCTAGCTATTTTATATGTTATTTTTATTTATTATTGTTATACTAAATTCCTACAGCAACGTGTGAGGTTTCACCTAGTGTTATATGATAAGAATGCTACCTATACATATAAATGTTAAATAGAGATGATTAATTAGCTGGTATAGTTATGGGCACACGGCTGGGCCACATGTATGTAACCCCCAAGTTGGTTAATCAAATAAATAGTATGCGTGATTAATTGGCTCTATCAATCATATGGTCTGATCCTACGGCGCAGATATATATATATATATATATATATATATATATATATATATATAGGACACTCATATGGGGCACCATGGTGCCCGGGCACCATGGTATCTAATGCACAAAATTACTCAAATTTTTCAAAATTTTCAAATTGTGAGTATATACCTAGTTATAATAATTTGATTCATACCTATACTTATCAACAAAACAACTCAAATTTAACTTTATTTCACAATCCATGATTACATACCTAACTAATTATATATATGGATGCTATATACCTAGAATCAAAATCTAACAAAAACAAGTTCAAATTCAGTTCAAACTTGCTTTAAACTAGTTAGTAAAGTAGTTAATGTTAATACCTAAGTAATTGAAAAAGTTTCATACTCATTTGAATTGGGTATATACTCAATTTCAACAATGGTGCCCGGGCACCATGGAGCACCAAACAAATTTACTATATATATATATATATATATATATATATATATATATATATATATATATATATATATATATATATATATATATATATATATAGACACACACACCAGCTGGAACGTGCCAATAATTAGAAAAATCTCTCGATCAAGTCAAGCACTAGTGTACTACAGCTCAGGCATGGCGGTTGCCAAGCATGCGCCAGAATGTTTCTGCGAGGGAGAAACATGGGATCCATGGGATGCCCAAAACGATGGCGAAATAATCTGTGTGCATTAATTTGACGAATTTTCGGTAGGCGAAACTGACACGCTTGATCAAGAACAGCTAATTACAAAGCTAGCTAGGGCCACATCCTCTAATTCACACATGTACACCCTGTTTAGAAGAGTTTACCTTTTAAAATATCCAGCTCCACTAAACAGCGCAAATTCTCACATATATTCTGAGAATATATATGTAACTATAAAAATGAGAAAACAAAGTAAAAGCCAAAATCTAGCTTTTATAAATTCTCATAAGTTACTACCAACTGCATATAGAGCCTGAAAAGACGGAAGTGGACTACAATAATTTTGAAGTCGCTAAAACAACTTGAAAGCACATTATTTTAATCAGGCGGTATTGTATTTTTATGCATTTTAGCTATTTTTTCTAGACCGAGGGGTTAATTCGAAGAGTTTTTTTTAGAGTGATAAAGTTGCTAGAAGCATAAAATGCACATCCCTCAACAGATGGCCGTGGTAGCCTGGTAGGCGACGCACTTCCTCCGTCCCAAAATATAAGCATTTTTATCATTGTACTAAGTCAACCATTTTAATCATGTAAAATTGATGTTATTAGATTTATCATTAATCAAACTAGCATAATATGTAACGCTTTTTATTTAAAATATTTTATTTTTATAAATATTGTTGGTTAAAATAGTATCTCAAAAACTATGTCAAAGTTAAAAAATGTTTATATTTTGGGATGGAGGGAGTACCGTTTACAGACTTGGGGGAGGTGTTTACAGGGTATACTCACTCTATTCTGAATTGATCACCGCATTCCATGTTTACACTGCACAAGGAGGAGAAGATTGATCCCTAATCCATTTGATCAACGCATTGAAGAAAAAGAAAAAAAATGTTGCTTTGGTGAACGCATCATTCACTACAGGATATGAAGGGATGCAACTATGCTCTGTATGCATGCACCCAAACATTTACTTTACGTAGAGAAATGAAAATACGCTGCGAAGAAATACCTAATACGCTGATCATTTCTTAAAACATTGAAAAAGTACTATATAATGAATATTTGTGAATGAAGGGACTATATAATATAATTGATTAATAAAATATCTAGTACTCTATCCGTTCCAAAATATATATAAATTCTAGCATCTGATCGAAATGAAGGGATGCAACTATATATGCTCTACATGCATGCGTCGAAACATTTACTTTACATAGAGAAATGAAAAGACAGTGAGAAGAAATACTTAATACGCTGATCATTTCTTAAAACATCAAAAAAATTTATATGATGAATATTTGTGAATGGAGGGAGTATATAATATAATTGACTAATAAAATATCTAGCACTACATCTTTCCTAAAATACAAATTCTAGAATTCAAAATTTGCTCCAAACTATAATAAATTTTTCACCCACACTCCTTTCTGAACTAATCACAACATTTCACCACTTTCTCTTATCAATCAATCATAATCTTTTTATATTTAATTCTATTTACTTTCTTTAATACTGTGTCCATTAAAACTCTTCATATTTTAGGACGGAGAAAGTATCTTATAAAAGAATAATTTAATAAACTATAGGATATATGACACTAATGATTGAAGACTAATCGCTTTCAAGGGCCAGGACAACGCTGATAAGTGATTAGATATTGTGCCTTATTGTTTGGCATATTCATATGCTTATCAACCAAAATTTAAATTTTCAACGTTAAATTTGGAGTTGATTTTGGAGTATTTTCATCGAAGTTTATTTTTCAGCCTTTGCTTTTAGATCGCTAAGAACCCATATATAAAAGTTTTATTCACAAATTGATTTTCATTTGCAAATATGCCATTTGGCACGATGAGGCTGATTGTATCTGTTCTGGGTTGTCGTCACTATCGTCTAGCTGACAGTAGGTACAGTGCTGATATTTTAGGCCCACCTGTCGGTGAAATCGAAACTCGAAAGGTTGTTGAACCAAGGTTGTTTCAGTACCTCTGTGTTGGCTGCTTGGTGCTCTATCTCTATGGAGAGCTAATGGGCACTCGGACTTGTCCATTCAATTCAGCAAAATGCTTGTACACATTCTTAGGTAAGGTCAACTTAATTGCTCAATCCATGAGAGATTTTTTTTCCTTTTCTTCATAAAATCTTTCAGTGTGTCTCAAAACCGTTTTATAATCACTTAACTTTCTAAATCAACATTCCAAAACCGTTTTATAATTCCAAAACCGTTTTACTCCATACGGGTATGTGTGTGCACGGTCATAAAGAGTATGCGCCCGTTGTGAGCATCTGCGATTATACTGTGTTTCCCCAAAAAAAGTTGATTTTCAGAAAAATTTTCTAAGAAATGTTGGTGAAGATTTTTCTTTTAAAAAATGACAACGTGCTAAGGTCTCAAGAGTTTTGCTCACGCTAATCCGGTAACTATAATCAGACAAGAACTATCTTAGGTTGTGTTCTTCCCCATTCCCCCTCCTTTCCCAACTCACCTCACTCTTTTTCCACACGTAAGCTTATGAAACTATTAAAAGGTGTGTGTTTTTTTGCAAAAAAAAAAATCTTTACGAAAGTTGCTTTAAAAATCATATTAATCCTTTTTTTAAAAAAACTTAGCTAATACTAAACTAATCATGCACTAATGAGTCACTCCGTTTTCAAGGTCGGAGAGATTAGTTCTCAACCACAGGAAACGAACACAACCTAAAGCTAAAGCATTGTCTTACTGTTTTCAAAGCTAAATAAGTAAATGTGTAGTTAAATGTGGAGGTAAACTTAAGATCAAGCTGAAGCGCATGGAAACGTTATTATTAAAGAGTCCAAAATTTTTAGTAGTATAAAGAAAGGTCCGGAATTTTGAATCAAAGACTTCTTGGGAGAAAGGCAGCATACAATTAACAATCAGCATACGTGCAAACAGTTCCAACAGAAAGAAAAAACGACGAGACACAATAAAACAAGAAGTTATAGGAAGCAAAAAAGCTCCAAAAGATGTGAGTGAAGCAAATCTTGAAAATAAAAAGAGAGAAGAATAAATAACAAAACCTAAAAAAATGAATTCTCAAAAACAAAAATGCGATTGTTTAAAAAAAAAGGGAAAAATGAAAACAAAAAAATGTTGACGCCCACCGTGGGGCTCGAACCCACGACCACAAGGTTAAGAGCCTTGCGCTCTACCGACTGAGCTAGACGGGCCAGCTTGTCTGAATGGCATTTTTTATGTTATTATAAGTAAAAGTTATAAAAAGATTGCACAATTTTTCAATTGCATTTCGTGAGGTTGGGCAGGAACCTGAATACTGATAAGAACAATGTACCAGTGCAGAAAAGCAGACGAAAATCACCCAAGCCGAGAACGCTGAGCATTACGAATTTTCCATGGAAATGTGGAATCTCACACCCAACACAACGCATTTAAAAAGTCCAATCCTGTTAGTTCTTGGAGGTAATATGCTCTTCAGTTCAGTCTTGACTAATCCCCCTCTTTTCCTCCCAAATTACTGCACAAAATTTGGCCATCAAGCAGCCCCACGAACAGCCCCTAACTAGGTTCGGAATTTGCCAAAGAGGGTTGAAATGTACCATCACCGGGGGGGGGGGGGGGTTACTGTACTCATCAATGAGTTCTGAACCAAGCAAAAAGTTTAGCCCCTAACTAGGTTCGGAGTTCCTGTTAGTTCAGCATTAGCGCATACGGCAAGAGGCAAGAGGCAGATGTGTATTTGACAGTTTGACACAAGCCATCAGGAGTGCTTTGGCCGCCGGGACAATCTTCTCAGGTTCACCCTCTCCTGGCATCAGAAAAAAAACAGCAAGTTTATCAGCATCAAGCTAAATTATATCATTTGCAGGAACGGCATATCATTTGTGATTTAATGGTTGAACATTCGCAGGAACGGCATATCATTTTTTGTTCTAAGGATACGTGGGTAGGATTGGTTGAAATTACCTGGGTTCCATCATGGTCGTATTCGACAAGGAAGACACATCTGCACCCCCTTATATCATGTTGTTTCCGCTGGATTTCCAGAACATGCGCATCGAAATGCAATGCTTCATCATTGCTCTCCTAATGAACAAAATCACAATGAGGAAAGGAAAAACTTCAATAAAAAATACATTTTAAAAAAATCAATAAAAACGACTCGAAAGTAGAAAGTTGCAGCAGTACAACATATTGTATAGCCTCTCAGTTATAGTTTCAGGGCAAAAGAAAAAGGGAACGTCATTACCCTTTACCCTACCTTGAAACAGAGGACAAGGTCTCCTTCCCTGATGAGTTTGCATTCTGATGATTCCAACGGGATGGATTGCAGGCGGATAGCCTTCCGGACATTGATCCATTCATCCTCTTCAGCCCCAAATCCTTGAAATCTCACTCGGACTTCCTAGAACAATAATGAAGAAATAGAGTTTTCAAAAATAGATCTTTAATTTGTACGGTGCGAACAATTATAAAATGCAATAACGAGATTCATGTGATCAGACCTAAGAAGAAAACGAATATGTTATCATTGAAGACTCTCCAAAATCCATGTGGTTCAAACTTAAGATCAAGCTGAAGCGCATGGAAACGTTATTATTAAAGAGTCTAAAATTTTTAGTAGTATAAAGAAAGGTCCGGAATTTTGAATCAAAGACTTCTTGGGAGAAAGGCAGCATACAATTAGTAACATAGGGGTCTGAGACATTCTAAAATTCAGGGCAGTGCACAAATACTTCTGAGGAAAAAAAAAAAGAACACATGACATATGCTAGCAAGCCGATAAATAAACTATCAGCTGAAGAGACATAAATGCAAACATATCCTACAACATCAATTATTCTACTTACAAATTCACCAGAACTTAACTTCCTGTATGCTAAGAAAGTGGCGATATCATACCTGCATAGCACAGAAAATCATGTGATGACTATGGCATTAGTGTTGGCTTGCCAAAGTTAAGAAACAAAACAAGATAAGAAAACTTGAAATTAGTCAGTACATGTACAAACATTAAACTTCCAGCTTCATACAGCAGTACTAAGTACTAAGAACACTGCACAAATGCCCAGTTGCAAAGTTAACTGAGATCACTACCACAGTTCTAGCATTCTAGGTTCTAACGTACCAAACTAGCATAATCAGGAAAGGAGCAAGTGATTTGTCATGGCAAACCTTCCCATTGATGGGAATTATGTCTCTAAGTACTCCTAACACAACAAACTTGGGTACAACTTTCAACAGAAGTTAAATATATTGCTTGATCCTGCATGATTAGCATTAAAATTTTGAAGACAAGGAAATGGAAAGTATATGGGAGAAAGGGTCAAAGGAAACAAGAATTGTATCGTTACAAAGTAAAAGGGTATTCACCAAGCAAAATCCTTTGAAGACCTAGCCTCGAACTGCATGTCTTCAATTTCAGGAAGCTTATCTATGTTGTCTGAAAAGAAGTCAACACATAAGAAATAATGCACGAAGCATCATGCTTTAACAGATTATAATATTTGCAACTACGGAACTACCTATAGGTAAATCCGGCGAAACCTCGCCTATATCATTTGAAATGCTTGTATCAACAGCTAAAGCATTTTCTTCAGATGATGGAGGCTTTTCTTCAGAAACCGGTGCACTTGCTTGGGAGGCTAAAGCCTTTTCTTCAGAGCCAGTAGGCAAACAAGGAGGTATAACAGTTGATGCAGGGAACTTTTGACGGAACCATTCTTGAACCTGTTCAAGCAGATGTTATTATAGTACACAAATTGAAATTTGGGGCATAACAAGAGTCAGACGGTATAACCTGCACAGCCTGTAGTGCTTTACTTCCAACTCGGCCTGGAGAACAACTGCGCACAGCAGAAAATGAAATAAAAAAAACCATAATCATTAGTTTGAAGCTATTGCATGTCAATAATAATTCACAAATTAAAAAGAAACGTTTTTGCAACACCAGTATTCATACAGTTAGACAACATTTAACTATTTAAGACATATCTGCTTAAGGAGAACAACAGAAGACACTTCGATCCTTTCATAAGCTTCTTGCAGAAAACTACGATCGAAGCCTATAGTCTCTACTCTCTACTTATTGATTCAGAATAAAAATAAAGGAAAATTAAATGTTTGCCAATCCAAAAGATTGATAATCTAAAATATGCCACTCCACAGAATGTAAATGCTCCAACGTGAATACTATTTTGCCATTTTGAGCCTTTTTTAGAATAATACATGTCTTTTTCCCAACCTGAATTGCCATTTCCTCTTTCCTAGATTCTTCCCCCTACTCCCATCTAATTTTCTCTCATCATCGGACATGACACCGCACAGTTCAGTTTGTTTGTTACAAATTACGAATTAGGTTAGTGTTGATGGCATTAAGCTATCCCAACCATACTGTTATTTAAAAGATAAAGGACCACCGCCACCTTATAACACTGACATTCATGGCAAAGATGTGCCACACAATTGACCTATTCTTGCACCCACGGTCAGCAAGATTATTGGTTATCCAAGCACCTATCTCCAATACAATAAAACATGAATCTAAATTCCTCAAACATGACTGGACTGGCTAATGCCTCGCAGCCACTGCTGTCATGCATGGCACACGTGAGCACCAAGCCACCAAAGTCCTTCTGACCTGCTACTCCTCATAATGAAACCACGCGCAGATGGAAGTTCGTATCTGCTGAGGACATCTTATCCAGACCCAGACTACCATTCTCATGTCACCACAGGTCATCTAGTCATGATTCAACACTCTGAACAACTTCACCATCATCAAGTATATGTAATGCTCGGACCATCTCGACCAGACATCATTGGAGCGCTATCCCTGAGCAAGCCCAACTGCAAACTTTTGGTCATAACCGCTGGCCCTCACCACCACATGCTGGCCTTATGTGACCTGGAGCTGCTCGACAAGGATGCCACCCCATTCTGGTCACCAAGGATAAGAAGAGCGCTACAGCGTACAAGGGCAAAATTACCGAGCAATGTGTGGGTCTAGAGTCTAGACCAAATGATTGAAAAAAAGACTGAAAAGGGCAAAAATAGAATAGATCCTCTCTTCACAGTGGCATTAGAATGATTATATATAGTTGAGTGGCCTTTTGGGCATGTCAGCCTTGGCAATGGTAAATGTCAAAGTTTTACCTACAATAAAAAGGTTTAGAACACCCTGTAAGGTTGTAACACTGTGGGACTCACTTAAATTCTTCTGCGAGCTTCCGGCAGAAAATTTCATCCAAGACTTGTTCCTTTTTATGTGTAACCAACTTCTCCATCCTTGCAATCTGCACGAGGAAGTATTTAGGTTACCATGGAAGATGCAAACTAGCATAGTACAAATTGTATAGCTGATTTAACCATGATAATACAGCATGCAGAGGGAAAGACTGTGTACTATACTAGTAGTTCACTTAGGTACAGTGGTTGGGATCATTTGAGCCCCATCTCCTAACTTTAAAAAAAATGGATAGGATCTCCTTTGTGTTCCCATTTCTAGTCATTACATGCATAGCTAAATAGAGATTGATTTACAACTAGAGAATTCATGTTGAATCATGAAACTACGTAAAGCTAACAAAGGAGCATTTACTTTCCCTTCTTCCTTCCTCTGAAATGGATAGGCAACACACAAATGATGAACTATAGAGTTTAACTCTTAAAATTGGCCATAGGATGCAAAACACAGCAATCTAATAAGTACACATTGTGCACTACTAAAAGCCCACAAAGGACCATCGAATATCCTTTTCTCCAGTAGTTAGGATATATTGAAGAGTGGAAGAACAAACTCAACCGAAGTGTTTTTCCCATTTACAGGAGCAAAGAACTGAAAAGAATAAGTTATTCTGCTTCAGTTACAAGAATATTAAGTTTAACAAAGAAGGAAGAGTTGGCAAAATAGCAATGCTGACCAGTGGCCACAGAAGAATATCTGAATAGGAGGATAGCCACTTCCTTGACTCAACCTCGTGACTTTGATTAGGACTCACATTTAGCTATTCTTTGGCATCAATATGACCGGTTAAATGAATAATGCAATATGCCAGTATTTTATTGTTGCATGCATTGATCACTACATGCAGCATTCTAGCCAAAAACATCAGTGCCTCATGACTCTTCATATTTATGAAAAGAGTATAAACTTCTACCAGGATCACCCAATGCTAAACTGAACATTTTGTTCAGTAAGCAAAAAAGAAAAGGAACAAATATACACTGTAGTCAAGATTAGTCAACAGATGCTGAATAACTATAGTACATCACAAGCCTGCATGTAATCACCTGAATGCGCACTAGCAAATAAAGTCGCCATAGCATCAAAATCCCAATCAATTTCATCATACACAAGGGGAGAGAACTTCCCATGGCCCCCACAAGAACCCCGACCAAAACCCACCAAGAAACCACACCACTTGAACGAAATGGAGCGTGGGGAGGCATAAACAGCAGCAGGGCGAATCCGATCCCCCGAAGAACCAGAGAAATTTCTCCCAGCTCAATCGCGGAGATGCCCCGGCCCGTCCGTCTCTCCCCACCCCAACCCAACAAGAACCCCGGAGAAGCAGCACCACCCCAAGCGGAACCCCACCACAGGGGCGCCGACGAGAGGGGGGAATGGATGGGGCGCGGCGAGGCCTCACCTCGGATGGCGCGAAGCGAACGCTCGATCGCCGCTCCATTTCTCGCCGCCGGCGAGGTCTCCGCCGCCGGAAGAACGGGGAAGACGCCCTCCTCCCAACTTGCAGCAAAGAGTAGAAAAGAAAATGAAAAGGAAAAAGAAAAAAAAATTAAAAGAGAAGTAGGGGAAGTGGTTGAGTGGGCCCCACCAGATAATGGCCAAGGAAGGGACTGGTTGGTGGGCCCAGGAATCATCCTGCCATGCCAGACACTGACAGGTTTCTCAGGACAGATTGGAAGCCTGTTTGGAATTCTGGCCCTCTTTAGGGTGTGTTTAGTTAAAGTTTAGTTGAAATTGGAACGATACGATGGAAAAATTAAAGTTTATGACCGAGTTTAGTTCAATTGGAAGTTTGAAGAAAAAAATTGGAACTAAACTCGGCCTAAGATTTCAACTTTTTTCTTCAAACTTCTAATTTTTCCGTCACATCAAACTTTCTTACCCACACGAACTTCTAATTTTTTCGTCACATTGTTCCAATTTCTTTAAACTTTCAATTTTAGCGTGGAATTAAACACAGCCAAAATTGGAAGTTTGATTTATAATTGGATCTATGCCACTATAAATTTGTTTGTTTAGAAAAATACCACTACAATTCACCTAATAGGAAAAGGGAAATGCTGAACACCGGTATACCGTCCCGACGGGATAGGATAGACACCAACCAATCCACTCTTCTTCTACCTAGCTATTCTTTCTACAACATCTCTCTCACACGTGCTGCTGCAACTAAGTCAACGACGAGCTCCGGCGTGGCATGGGTGTGGATGACGGAGGACGCGGTCACCAGCGACGAGCTCCGACGCGGCCGCCCCCGACGAGCCCCCGGCATCGCGGACTCCGACGACGAGCTTCAGCGTGGCGTGAGGCACGGACGGCGGAGGATGTGGCCGCGGCGACGAGCCGCGTGGCATGGGTGTGCATGACGGAGGACGCGGTCGCCGGCGACGAGCTCCGACGCGGCCGTCCCCGACAAGCCCCCGGCATCGCGGACTCCGGCGACGAGCTTCCGCGTGGCGTGAGGCACGAACGGTGGAGGACGTGGCCGCGGCGACGAGCCCGGCGTGGGGAGCGACAACGGAGGATGCGGCCGACAGCGACGCGGTCGCCGGATTGCTGCTTGGAGCTCCAGCACCGCCACCCGCCATCCACGGCGCCGCCGTTAACGCCCACCTCCGGCTCCATCCGCGTGGCTAGCCGGTGCGCCCTCCGCCAGCGCCCCAACTCTGTCACAGGCCCTCTCTAGTCGTCGCCTTCGTCGCTGGCCGCTGGCCGTCGATCCCGCTGTGAGTCCAGGCCTTCATCCTATCCATCTGCTGCTTCGAGGGAGCAAAGAGACAAGACGGGGTGTAAAGAGCTTGTTGACCTGGTCATGGTTGGCTGTGGAGTGTGGTAGAATCATCTTCTACATGGTAAGAATCGCATAATACCTGATAGATATCATCTTCTACGTTGTAAGAATCGCATGATACTTGATAGGTATCATCTTTTATGTTGTAAGAATCGCATGATACATCTCGATACCTGATAGGTATCACCCGATACCAGCTAGGTATCAGGACCTGATACATCGCAAGCATCACCCACCACGTGGTAAGAATCACATGATACCTAATAGGTATCATCTGATACTTCACAAGTATCACCTGATATATGGTAGAATCGCATGATACCTAATAGGTATCACCCGATACCGGCTAGGTATCAGGACCTGATACATCGTAAGCATCACCCACCACGTGGTGAGAATCGCATGATACCTGATAGGTATCATCTGATACCTCACAAGTATCACCTGATACGTGGCAGAAACGCATGATACCGGTTAGATATCAGGACTTGATATCTAACCGGTATCATATCGTTTTTGAATGGAATTGCGGTATATAGTAGCTATGATACTGGGACTGATAACCACCAGGTATCGTTTATCAAGACCGATGCCCAGCATGTATCAAATATGATACTTGGCCATCCGGTTATCTGGTACTTGATACCAAACGGTATCACACACGATGCCTGTTATGAGGCATGGCACCCACTCGGTATCAGGTGTGATACCTGATAATAGACTTAATGCTCACTCGGTATCAGATGTGATACGTACCCAGTAACAGATTTGATACCTGGTAGCTAGGTAGGCTACTACTTGCTATACTAAACTAGCTTGGCTATCACATGAAGATTTTTTTGCGTATGCACGTGGACAAAATGACAAATGATGGGTCAATGGGGGTGACATGACACACCTTTTGAGACACGATGACAATATACATGACATACTAATTGAACGGAAGGAATCGTCCGGCTAACTGCTTGTAGGCCTGTACCGTCCGAACGGTATACCGGTATATAGCAGCCCTCTATTGTTTAGGTATTACTGAAATTTTATAAATTTAGAACGATGCCATCGCCGTGATGTTTTCCATCACTTCCGTCTTCTTCCGTCTCTTTTTCTCATCTCCTTCCTCTTCTCTTCGTTTCTTCTCCCCGTCGGCCAGCCATGCCTCAGCGTCGTGCTGCCGGCGAACGCCATGTCCACGCGCAGGAGCCTGAGCCGAAGGAGACTGTGTCACACCCTGAAAATTCAAAATATATAAATTGTTGTTTAAATGGAATTTTTAGAATTTATTTTAAAAGCCTAGAAGAGAAGATCTAATTTTAATTAATAAATTCCAATATAAAATGGGGCCAGATAAAATTTCATTAAATACTTTGCTTAATTCTATAATTCCTAGATTTTTCTGGGATTTATTTGAGCTAAGGAAGTATTTTCAATAAATGGAATTGCATTTAAGAAATAATTTAAATTGAAAAAGGTTTTAAAAAGTCTCTTTTGGCTTTGGGCCAAAAGTCGGCCCAAAACCGCTCTCTCTCTCCTCGGCCCAGTCCGGCCCAGTCCGCCGCAGCCGCGCGCGTGCGTCCGCCCGCTGACAGGTGGGGCCCACCTGTCAGGGCCGTTGTCAACCTCCGGCCGCCGCCGCCCGAAACCCTAGTTTCGCGCCGCCGCCGTTCCTTTCCAAATCCGGCCGCTCCTTTCCTTCTCCGGCCGAATTGATAGAGGGGAAATGATCCTCGGGATCTCCTCTACCTTTTCTCCTTTGGAAACATCGGCTAATTCGTTTTGGAAATTGTTGGAATCGAGTTCGAATCGGATTCGTCTCTCTCCTCCGAACCCTAAACCTTCCTTCTCGTCGCCAGCCGCCGTGGGCCTTCGCCGTCGCCTCCGAGCCCCTTTAAAAGGTTCCCCGGTGTCTCCTCTACCCGCCGCCACTCTCGCCTTCGCCTCTCGTCGCCGGAAGAGCTCTAGCGCCGTGCAACCTAGCGCCGCCGTCACCGCCGTCGCTCCAGCCGTGCGCCGCCGCCGTCTCGGTCGTCGTCATCGCTCGGGAAGGCCACCGTCATGATCGCCAAGTCGCCGCCGTTCTCGTCCGCTCCTTCACCGCCGCCGAAGACCGCCGGAACACCGTCGCCGCCGTCGACCCGAAGTTTGCCGCCGCTTCCTCCTCGTCGCCGTCGCTGTCTGTTGATCTTCCGCCGCTCTTTTGGTCACCGGTGAGTTCGCCGCGTCGCGCTCTACCCGTTGGTGCTCTCCGTTCGTGCCGAAGTGCCGCCGTTCGCCGGCGAGCATGCGCGCCCGAGCCGCCGAGCCGCCGCCGCCGGTGGTGACGTCACCGCCGACGTCATCGTCGCCCTCTCCCGTGAGCCGGTCGTAGACCGATCGATCTCGGCCGTCCGTTTTGGATGGATCGATCTCGGCCGTCCGTTCGCGTGAACCGTCGCCCGTGCGCCCGGTCCACCGAAACCCTAGCCGCTGACGCAATAAACCCCTTTTTCCTTTTCAAAAATAATTCATTATTGCGTCATAATTCAATTAAAATCAATTTAAGTGTTTTAATCCGATTAAATCTTCAAAAATTCATAACTAATTCATCTTAGCTCGGATTTAGTTGGTTCAAGTCTCTAAATTTTTCTAAAATTGAGATCTACATGTTAAAAATATCCACATGTACTGTTCATGCTTATTTATATGCTGTTTTGGTGATTTTGCTTCTTTCTGCTTAGATTCCGCCGTTTCCGGAGAGTCCGTTTTCGCAGGAGAAGAATTTGAAGAGTTCCAAGGCCAGCAAGGCAAGTCACACAGATCCCAAACAACCCTTTGAGCATGTTGATCCTATTTAAAGCTATTGTTTCTATTCAACTATTGTATTTATTTTCGAATGTCATTGGGTGGAATTAACCTATTCTTTGCTATAGCCCTTTTGTATTTGATTACTTTATTCCTTGATACCTTGGGTTATTACAATTTGACTAGTTGAGCTTTATTTATATTGGTTCAACTAGATATTAGATATAATTGCTTAGCCATGCTTAGAAACATTAGCTCACTATTGGGATAACTTATGACTCATTATTATTTAATGATGGCTTAATGATAGTTCACGATGGTCAATCGTGATTGTTTAATTATTTAATGTGCCAACTAAAACCTGATAAAGGTGGGTTGTGAGCACATGATTTTGTTGGTCGTGCTCATGACAATTAAGGACCGGTTCACGAGTTTCGGTTGTGAAACATTAACCGTGCCAACCACAAGCCAGCGTGGGCAACGGCTTTATCTTTTGTATAGCATGGTTCATTGCGGGGCACCAGACTGAGAAGTGGCGGAGATAAGCCCACGGGGGTCGCTGGGGAGTCCATGCCTTATTTATAAGGGGGTGATTATGATCCAGGAAAGGTGCGCTGTAGTGGATTGTGTTGTGCAAGGGGTATTGTCACAACTCCTTTCCGAGGTACCGTGGTGGTATTGAGGCACATGGTGACATGATGTGGGGTTGTGTCTTGTGGGTACAGTGGTACACCTCTGATCAGAGTAAAACTATTCGAATAGCCGTGCCCGCGGTTATGGGCGGGTCTAACAATATCTTTCGTGATTAGTCTCACCCTTCTCACCATAGTAAGTGATGCTTTAATTGGTAATAATTTGATTAGCTCCTGGTTTGGAATGGTATATTCCTGGTTTGGAGATAGAACTGTGCAGCCGGGATGGTTGTTCAGAATGGTTGGGCCTATGCAACAGGGTATGTTGTATAGCGTTGGATTAATATTGTTTAATT